AAAAAATGAACTTAAATGATTTTAGCATATGGCTGCAATATAACAAAGAGTGAAAAATTTAAGGGGGTCTGAATACTTTCCGTACCCACTGTATGTACTAAAAATCAAGTATTTTCAATGCTCAATATCAGTTCATTATCAAATGAACTACAAATACTAAATTAAATATATTGAAACTTCCAAAACCAAGTGGAAGGATGTTATGACCAAGTTACACCAGTTATTATTTGACTATGTTTATTTCACAAGCATGAAAAATTTCCCTGAAATGAACAAATTTAAGAGACTGAACACAGAAGAATCTTTTTTACATTCACATGAACGCACTGCTCCCTGGTGGCAAAAATGAGACACACAAGATTGCCAGAAACACTCAAAGTGCCACTCTGCTCGCTATTAAAGCAACAAATCAAGCATTGCCTCACTAACTGCTCAAGCTCTTGAAAATATCCCAAAATATTTGTGACAATCAATAACGGTACTTTTCCCTTGATTAGGTTCATCAATATTTTACAACCAAAAGAACATAAAGGCCAATTAAATATCACACGCATTATGCCAGGCAAACAGTTAAGTACAAGGGTTCTGTGTCCTGGGGATGTCCAGCATCAGACATCTGGAAAACAAACAAAAAAATTCTGTTAGACTACCATCTTATGACAAATATGGAATGGGAAAACACATGGTTGGTCAGAGACTTAACACCCACCCATCTACAGTTTGTCAATGCCAAGCTCTTCAGGTGTGGAGATGCCAAGCTCATCTAATGTTGGCTGTAGCTCCTGGATCAGGTAGGGGTAGATGTCTTTGTGAGGACCAGCTTTGTCCTGAGGAAGTAAACAATGGTAAAACCCATTTGTCATTACCTCATGCCAGTAAACTGCTGGCTGGCAACATTCCCTCAATTATTATCTGGTTTAGAAGCTGCCTTTTCCCTCACCTTCACAGCTTCCAAAATTCGAATAGCGCTGGCCAAGTCGTTTAACCTCCGACAGGCTCTCAATGCTGCATCAACGATCTTTGGCTCAGGTACGAGATCATAGCCCATCAACGCGTTCATCCCTGTGAGAAGGAATTAATTTTTAATAGAACAAAGAAAGAAATCAACACATTTTTATTTCATCTCTTGCTTTAGGCACAAGTCTAGCCAAAGATACATTTTTCTTTTGTGAATACATCCCATGACGAGATGCACTTTCTGAGTAGTAAAAATCTGACATCCATAAATGAGCTACATCGTTAGTGGGTGACATGCCCTTTTTATGATGAACATGGCCATTGTAATGTATTTTTAGCTGATCCCTGGGGCTGAAAATACTCAGCTACATGTCTATTTTGTACCAATCCACAGTTAAAAATAGTCCCTAGTAACTACACTATTTACCTGAGTATTGCTTGTTAAAAACTACAGTTCCCAGCTGTTTGAGGAAACTGTTTTAAAATTTTAACTTGATATTTCTGACCTATTTTAAAAGGGTTACATGTTCAGTAGCAGCCAAAGGGCTTGAGGCTGAGATCTATATGCAAGATAAGGTAGTCAGAAAGTACAATGTAACAAGACTAAAATATTTGTTTTGCCTAGTGGAATTTTATTAGAAAATTGTGGACAAATCCTTAAAATCAACATACAAATTAAGATGAACATTTTTTAAGATGAAACTAAATCAACTACATTAACACCTCCACTCTGAAGAACAACATCCTCTGTAGACTGTAATGTAAGTTTCAACCACAAGGCCTGTCTAGTGAGCCACTTCCTCAGTGTTCTGGTCTCATCATTTCCCACCTGATAATGAGCTTCTCTGTCCTGCAACTTGAAGCCTTCTGTTGTGCTTTGTTTGAAGGCTTATCAGATGCCAAAAAAACAAAAAACAAACTAGGAACTGTATTTCTCCAAAACCTATTGACCTGCTTCACCAGCATGAGGTTAACATAATGTTCTGTTAAAGTGAAATCAGTCTGTAGTATGAGACGAGTATGAATACTACAAGGTGAGCTCCTTCACAGCAGTGCAGGTATGTGTCTCGCAGAGAGGAGAGGATGAAGTCGCAGACAGCAGCCAGGATTGTGGATTGTTCAGGCCATAGCTGGGTATCAAATCTCAATAGCTCCTGGTAAATATTCATTTTCGCCATTTACATTTGGTATCACCCAAAAAGTGTCCGTAGCAGGAAGGTATCGAAAACTATCAAAGCTGGCACTATATGCTTGCTCACTGGTAATCTATTTTTTTAGCAGTTAATTTCTGTTTCGAATAGTCATTTTTCCAATTTAAGAGTCTTTTATTTTGGCATAGTTTTAGTCTGGTTACCTGTCTAGTGTTTAACATTTGAGAAGTTTATATTCTTTTGTTAAATGAAAAATCCAAATCAAATCTTCAGATCAAATTTCTTCAGACAACTCTCTGTCCACAAACTGTGATTGTCAAAACTTTGCTAAACCTGTGAAAACATCCGTATTCAAAGCTCTGCAGTAACCCTTCAACACTCTGTATTCAGGTTCAATTTCTAAGGAATAGATGGTAACTTTGCTGATTCACTGTCACTGTCATTCCATAAACATACCTTTTCTCAGCTCCCATGCATCAATGTCTGGCTTGTTAAAATAGGTGACCCAGCGGGCATCAAACTCCTCTTCGGACTCGTGCTTCCCATGTGAGTAACACCTTGAGGCCAAAAGAGCTGTACAACGAAAATTATTTTGAATTAAAGAATGTGCTACAAAAAAAAAGTTACTACTGTTACAGCTATAGTTAGAGATACAGTATCAGGTCATACAGAACTAACCCAAACATAGTCAAGGATATCTACACTGAGTGAAGCAGAAAAACTGCTGTCTAGTAATGTACTGCAGGTGGATCTTTGCCAACATCCTGATTTGTCCTGCCAACTGCACCTGCCACTCTGAGCACACACTGACAACCAGGAAATTTGTATTTATACAATGCTTACAATATATGTAATAAGACGTGAATCTTTGATTGTGCATCTAGGTAATGTACTGTAATTCTTATAAACCAACATCTAAAAAAAAGGCTAATATAGCAGTTTTAAAAAAAAGTGCAAGGTGTGCATTTCCTGATTGTTACTGGGTACGACAAACCACTGCCTGATATAAACAAACACCACTAACTGATTGAACACAACTATAGCTGTTAGTCAGCTAGCCTATGTAGCATGTTAGCAAAAAGCATCGGCAGCACAATCACAGGGCCTGAGTCTGAGCCTTCCGACTGGGTCATGGCAAGGACACACACACGGCCGAGCTGAAAACTGGGACGGTTTCAGATCAGCACACGTTCAGGTTATATGGCTAATGGCTGCGTTAAACTAAAATATACATACTTTAATTGAAACACCAGTTTCACAGTGCGGTGTGAATTTATAAATGATAAGTTATACTAGCTAAGCTAATGCTAACTAGCCCAGTCTTGCGGTTACCGCAATGTGCCGACAGCCACGCATTATTTTGCCTAACTTAGAACTTTGACCGTTTGGTAAGCTACCAGACTACAAAAGGTGATAGCAGAATAAAAAAAAATACCTTGGCACCCTGGCTGCGTACGGGTTAAACTCCGGACACCGGAGACAGAGAGTCGGACGGCGGCTCTGAACATGATGCGATAGCCTGCTACGAGAACCGGTGAGGTTTGGCAGGAGGGCGCTTGTCACGTACCTATTCGATTCCCCGCTGCGCATGTGCAAACTGCTCACTGACTGTTTTTTTTTTTTCTGTATTGTTGACCTACCGGTTTTGAATCTGGCCAGAGTTAACACAGTAAGCTACCATAGAGTTTTCTGATTTGTTTGTCTTTCTTTTAAGACAAGGCACCCCAAATGGAAACTTGATAATTATTCTCATAGAGGGCTCCAGTAAACATGTGATGGGATGAATGGGACACTTAAGACAAAGGATAGTTTTACAGTGTGAATGCTGGTAGCAGTCACAACAGCTGTTCTTGTGTTATTGCTGAATGTCCGCTAGACAACAGCTAGACAATAGGTTATCTAACAGGTTGGTAAAATGCCAATGGACATGGCATCACTTTTGTAACTGCTTCACCCAATTGAGCACATTGACGTGCTGGACTGATAAGGCCTGCATTAGAACAGTGATTAAACTAGGGATACAGGAGGTGATGTTTTCTGCCTCTATTCTATGAGGGTATAATTATACTTTAATAAAAGATATGCATGCATTCTCTGACACACTCTACAACATAAGCTGAGATGCATTTCTGAACTAGTTTGTGTATCTCTGTCATAATAGATGCATAAAAAAGGACATCATCATAATGGAAATAAACCCTTAACCAAAAAAAGGCTATTGTTGCAAACCTTGATGTTTATATTAACAGTGTCAGTGACCGACTTGTGATTTGGCTTTGTTGACATTTGCATCAGAATAAGCTGTTATATTACTAATATATAGTAACTCATGCACCTTATTTTGCTGCTAATAATTTAATCAAATATGTTGCATTTTATAACAAAATTGCTAAGTATTACAAAAGACAAGTTCAGATTTCAACATGCACATGTATCAGTCATGATCAGTGAAGCTGCATACTGATGCAATATTGTAGATTATGAGATGAGAGAATGTCTTTTGTTTTGTTATTTTTCTCATATTTCACAGTATTATCAAATGTTGAGTGTTCATGGGGAACATATACTCCACTCATCCAGGCAGAGTCTCTTGGCTGTGTTCTGTGAGGGGGGACTGAGGTCTGGCCTAACCGGAGCGCTACATCTCTCTGTGTCCTCTGTGGGAACAGTCAGGGTTTGGGGGGGCTGGTATCCAGGCTCCTGGGGATCCAGAGGGTCTTTGGAGAGCAGGATACAGATGGCAGGGACTGTCCTCTGCATGGTTACATCTGGTGCTCCCTGTTGTGGATTCTCACAAATGTCATTCACTGTCTTGTAGTAGAGTTTGGATACCTGGTGCAACCCTCCCACTGTACGTTTCAGAATCTCCACACAGGTGATGGTCTTAGTGAGTCCCCTGCCTGAGCCAGTGAAAACCACCTGTCTCAATGATGTGCTGTTACTGTCTCTTCTGTCCTCACGCATGCGAGCTGTTACAAACCGCAGTAAGTTGCGGATCTTGCTTCCTTCTTTCACCCGCATGTGCAGGATGTCTGCTGCTAGGCCAGGGATTGGATAAGGACTGCTGTCCTCTGTGTGGCTGACTCTCCTGAAGTTCCAAAGTTTTGGAGATGAAGATGAGACATCAGGGCTGAATGAAGCAGACTGAGGTTCTATTACAGTGCTGCCTGCAACCTTTAAACTTGTCATCTGACCCCTGTTTTCGGTCATTGCTTACAAAGAAACAAAATAACAGTGCAAAATCCTGGTTCTGACCCTGCAGCCTCAGATTTTTTGCATATCTCCCCAGAGATCTGGAGTACGTTTTTTGTTACTTTGTATAAGAAACATAAAACTGATAATCTTCGTAATCCAATCTTTTGACTTATCTTGATCTTCTTTCTGTTGTCAGTCCATGCTGCATTTCTATTTTGTCTTGTGAGCACTGAGATGAAAGCCAACAGAATGAATAGGGCGTTTCTTCCTCTAATCCCATTGAAGTGAAGGAAAAGATGTCCTTGCTCTATTCAGCTCTGAGGACAGCTGATGCCAACGAACACATATGAGGCTCAGAGAGAGACACATGTAGAGCAGGGCATAGTGCTCTTAAAGGCATATGCAACATTTTTGCCTCATTTAATAGTGTCTGTAACATTCTACTTTGTTGGTTTTGGAGGGAGGTGTTTGTTAAACCCTTAAGGACTCAGATTTTATTTATCCATGTGGCTGCTTGGGTTATATGGATGAATAAACAAGACTAACAAAGCATGAGCTTAAAGAAATCCTTTGTCTTTGGTCTTGATTGCTCCATTTTATTGACATTCTTAATGTGTGTTTATAGATGCACTGAACAGCAAACTCAGAAACATCCGTTATAGCCATAGCAACATACAGGGTATTGTGGTTGTCAAGACCTTTCCTGCTGCACTATCATCACAGAGCCATATGGTCCTTGAGAAATGTCTTCCTTTGGGCTATTGCAGCTACTTCACAGTTCTCCTCCCTCCAGTTCACTGCCTATTGAGCTGACCCAGAAAATGCTTGCTACATAATATGTGCCCTTCCTGAGTCAATGACATTTTTGAGGACAGTCATATTTTGGAGCTGCTACTTTTTGTCAAACTGTATTAAACCAGAACGTGCAAAGAAAGAGATGTATCCAGAATAAAAAATGGTGATAGCTGTATTTATAAAGGAGCTGAGCTGAGGGAGGAGGTCAGGAAGCAGCTGTGGGTCTCATATGAACCTGATATCCTGTTATAATGGTGCATTTCTGCCTCAAAGAATTGTAGGTACCTCATGTTATTCATTGAATGTAACAAGGAGCAGAAAGATGTAAGTCTGGGTGGTGTTAATCAGAGCAAAATACAGCTATGTATTATGTTACAGCTAGTTCCTCTGTATGTAATACATACAGGGAACCCACTAAAGCACATAGCATAGCTTATTTTTGAGTGCGACTCCTGTGATACATCTAGTGTGTATTGTAATGTTCTAGTGTTGTTTTTCAGAAAGGAGAACATGATGCAGACTCATGTCAGCATCCTGGTTTTCAGTGTGCTACTTCTATTATCCCATTTTGACATCTAGCATTTTCCACTTTCAGACATCTTATTTTTATATTAACATAACAATTTTGGGATCTTGTTGGAGTAGGAAAAATTACATCTAGCATGTCAAACTATGATGTTCTTGTTTGTCAGGTGCTTCCACTCATAAGTAGGAAAGATTACCAAAAAAAAAATCAACTTTTTTTTCCGAGATTTGAAGTTCATTCATGATCTTAGCAGTTGACAAACTCACCAAAAAGGACCATTTAGTAGCTGTTCTGGAAATTTTGTTGTACAATGTGAGTTTCCTCAAATGGCAGCATTTGCCCAGGTGGTTAAATGTACATTATGAACACTTTTGGGAATTTATGATCAAGAAATACACTTAATCGTGGCTACACAGGATTTGGAGAGGGCTTTTGGTCATCACTAGTTAGGGGACTGGATGTAATTGTTCTTTAAATTCACATTCTGACAAACTTTAACAATGCTTGACTTATTATGCTTTCTGGACACAACTCTTTACCTGTACCAAAAGGCTATGCTGCAGAGTTGGGGTGCTCTTACAGTGCCTGATGGCCTGAGAGGAGAAAAGCAGCTCTACCAGCTGTTTGGTACTCAGCTGTGCTGATGAATTGACTGCTGACACCACCACTCTCTGTGGAAGAACAGACACAAACACTTTCAATAAACCTTTGCAGAACTTATAAAGGAATGAGACCGATAATAACTTAGAGAAACCTGCAAACAGCAGCAACCAAGTGAGTGCCACAGAAATACATTTTGAAGTATATATACCGTAAATCATCTGAAGAGGGAGTCGTCACCTTTCCAATGGGTGTGTAGGCAAAAAGCTCTCCTGTAGGAGGTTTTATGATTTGTGAAGTGGTTCCGTTTCATCACTTGGAAATTGATTCTTCTTCCTATAGCAGGGTTCTGGAGCTCATTCAATCTGCTCATAGCACATGAGGAAGAAGTTAACATATATCCAACAACAGATTTAGTCAGGAATAAAACAGCTGAATGAATGAAATCATCACATACTTTGAGAGTGGAAGCCAGTTGCTGAGTCTTGCAAAAAAAAAAAAAATCTTGATGGTTCCACTGGTCCTGAACCTGCTGTGTCTGCTCTTCTGTCAAACTATGATGTTCTTGTTTGTCAGGTGCTTCCACTCCATAAGATATGAAAACTGTAAGAATACTGGTGAACAGAGAGTTAGAAGAGCTAATCAGTAGATGGACAGTGTGCAATGTGTAATCTCATTACTGCCATAAAAAAAATGATAAAACACAGTGAACACTCACTTCTTTAGTTGTTTTCCAAGACTAAAATGATCCACGTTGGACGCTTGAAAGACTTCAACTGAAGGCGCTGTGGTGAGAAGCATCACATACTCAGGCGTCACATTAATTTATAATAAATTCTGTTTGAATCAGTGTGGTTGATGCTCACCAGGGCCATCCAGATACTGGGAGAGAGAAAAGTGCAGACGGATAACAATGAGCTCTGAGCAATTAATCCCCCAGACCTTGGCTACTTCCTACTGGTCACACCAGACAGTGTCATAATATTAAATGGGCCCAGAAGTCTTGACAGCAAACCATGTTGATGTATTTTACTTAGGACCAAATGAACTGTTACTTTAACTTACATCCAGGAAATTTGAATTAGTGTTTAAGTCAACATCCACACTGTCAATTAGCCTGTACTCCCTGGCAGAAGAAAAGGAAGGGGAGACTTGACAAGGTGGAAAAGACGCAGATGTTCACGACCTTAAACTGAAGGAATAAGAAAAGATGCTCAGACATTTACCTGACAGAGACTGCAGAGTCTGAATACAAAGTCCTGACTGCCTCGATGCCTGTATCCAGCTGGGGGTGGTGATGCAGCTCAGTGGCATAGCTCTCCTGCCGAGACAAACACTAACACACTTACCTTATGGTCCAAACAGCTCAGCACCACAGGGGGGATGAGGGATAAACTCACTCTGCAGCGGTGGCTGAGAAGAAGGCTGCTTTTCGCATCATAACAAGAGGTTTCCTGGAACACTTTCTCAGCGCTGTCTATTTAGCATTTTATAAGCAGTATATAAACAATTAATGAGTAGTTTATAATTTACTACAACACCCTATAATATAAATATAAGCAGATATTAGGGTACTTCAGTGAAAGACAATTAATGTTGCAATATAACACAGTTTACAAAAAAATACATACTTTATATGATTGTGCAATATTAAGTGTTTATTTACTGTATTAGTTAATTGTACTGACTATGACTATGTAAACTACTAGTGAATGTTTTAATACTTTTTCACTCTCAAAGGCTTCAGTTTCTGATGAGACCCAGTTGAGAATTTTTATCAAACTACTCTTTCTAAAGCCAAAATTAAACCTTGAAGCTCACTGTGGCTTATCAAGCAGTTTTAAACCTGCATGTGTGTAAACAACAAATAAATATATTATAACACACTGAGGCTTTGTTTATGTGTGTGATAATGTGTGTGTGTGTGTGTGTGTGATCAATCATTATCTATTTATATGCTGTTATAATTTTTTTAAAATTACAGCTGTGGACAAAATACACCGTACTTAAAACACTGTTACATTTGCTTACAGCTGCATTACAGCAATTGCATTTCACAATTTAAGAAACACTTAAATGTAATTTAATAGACTATATGATCAGTCTCTTTCATTGTCTCAGACTTTACTCCACAGTAATCAAACCAGCGGGAGCTACTGCGGTTCCAACATCCAGTGAGTAATAATTGAGATTCCTCTAAAACGATAATCAGACCACTACAAAGACTTATAGGAACATATTGAAAGAGGTTTTCCTCTGTGTCACTGTCCTTGTCAGCTCAGCTCTCTGGCCTCTGCTGGCACTCAGTCTCCTGTTGGGTTAATGGGGCAAGCTGTCAGTCAAATATCCTCTTATTTACACAACAAATTTCTTCCTTCTGTTCACCCAAAGTATACTGAGACTGCATCTGAACAATTCAATAAAACATACAGGATGAGACTCTAATGATAAAACAAGATCTGAATGTTTTGGCTACATTATGTACCTGTCATAATACTGCATATCTCGAAATAATGACAAACAGATACACATATATGTGACCTATACACTATCACTGACGGTGGCTCAGGTCCAAACTGGTTCCTTTACTAAATACCAGCGGACTGCTTTGTGATTGGTCAGGAGAGCACGAACCTCATGCCTGCGCCTTAACATCCCTCAGTGTTTCTCAAACGTTTGCGCTTTAATCTAAAAGTTTAGGTTTGATAAAACAACTTTCCAGTGAAAAAGAAATGTACGTTGATGTCGCTGTACTAATCGGAAATGTTGAATCTACTGTCGGGCCCTATATCCTCTGTCGCCGGGTGTTCACGTAGGAAAGTAGTCCCGGCTAGTGAGGCGGATAAAAACGTGTCGCTCCAGCAGAACCAGTGACGCTGTGGTCCCTGCAAAGTTCACCCAGTAGGTGAGTAACAACAAAGAGTGTCAGCTATAAGACAGAGAGAGCGGTTAGAAGAATTTGTATTCATTTTATTGAATGTGTTAAGGTTTAAACCAATATTCTTTCAATTCCTTTGATGGTGAAAAAAGTTATTTCAATCACAGATCAAACTTTTTTCCTCCAAACATATTATATACTTATGTAGTAACCTGTTATATACTAATAGCCACTAATAAGCTACTATGCTTAAAGTTATTGTTTGACATTATGCTCATATTATTTTCTGATTATCTGATTGATCATATTCCTTTTGCACAAATAAATAATAATAATATCTTGCACAAATACAAAACAGAACTGTAGGATTTTCACATTTTATTCATGCACACATGGTCAAAAATAAAGTATACAGCTATCTACCTTTGATTTATTTGTTATTTACTTATTACATATTTGCATCCTGTTCAATGTATTTTTGGTTCTTGTGCTGCTGTAATTTTGAGTTTCCTCCTTGGGATCAATAAAATTAGATGTTATCTCATCTGTATATTGACAAATTAGGCCTCCTCCGTATAATTAGGTAAACAGAAAAGTGATTTTAGGCATTTTCTACTGAAACTGTATGTTTCTAGAGCTTTTTTCCTCCTAATGAATTAAATATCAGCCTAATGTGCAGTCATCTATGACACAAATATTCATTTTTTTAGTACATAGCTGATAGATAAAGTACATTTAGATTTTGTACACCGCATTATTTAGAAGTACCTATGAGTTGTGGCTGAAAGCTGTAATATAATAGGATGGATTTTCTCATTATTTCAAGATTTTTTTCATATGTGTGTTTTCTGGTGATATGTTTCTACAGCCCATAAATATTCTCAGCTGACAGTCTTATTTTAGGGCAGGGATGGTGTCCGAGCACACACACAGCATGCTTCTGTCCGTTGACTGCCAGCAGACGTTTGCTATGCATGATGCATTTCTCTATTGTAGCAGACTGTAAGCTGAATCCTGATAACTCCGCCTTGTCCTTTAAATGTCCGTTGTTTGGATTCTCAACAAGCATTGCACTGCAGATAGCATAAGTAATGTTTTCCAACTTTCCACTGGAGTCCTGAAGTTTTTATTTGTGTGACTCACCTTTAGCCTCTGTCAGAAGTGACCAGCTTCTTTTCTTTAGCTGCACATAAACACCTGGTGGAACGTGGAAGAGTGCATTCAGGCAGGCACATACTGTGCTGCTTTTTGCACTGGGTGTTCAGTCAAGTTACACAACCATTCTTCTCTGGTAGACAAAATTAATCCATGGAGAGGTCATATCTTATTATAAGGGTGCAGTTTTCCATTCAAATAATTCAGAATTTCTTATTTTATTTTCCTTTGTATTGTCTGATTTGTTTCAATATCATTTTATGATGATTTGTTACTTTATTACAACTTCTTGAGTATGTATGTGGAGGGTTTTTTGTCTGTGATCCATAAAAGAATCCATACAACAACATAGCGCCTTATAGCAAATGTCACAAGTGGAGCCATTCAGTACTCTTGCCTCCCTGTCTTTCTCCTGCAGGATTTTTTCCTAGACACAGATCCAGTCATGTCGAAGGCAAAGGAAACGGGCTCTTCCGTCATACACACCCAGCAGCTGCATGCTGCCATGGCGGACACCTTCATTGAGCACATGTGTCTGCTGGACATCGACTCTAATCCTGCTAAGTCTCGCAACACCGGCATCATCTGCACAATTGGTCAGACAGTGTGCCACATTATCCAAAGACTATCTTAATGTATCCATATGACCTTAAAATGTCATATTTAGCCCTATATCTCTCAGTGTGCATTCACCTGTCTTGATGTAGGACCTGCCTCCCGATCTGTGGAGATGGCGAAAGAAATGATCAAAGCTGGGATGAACATTGCAAGAATGAACTTCTCTCATGGCACACATGAGGTGAGTGAAGGATAATTGTTACCATGAACTTACTACTTGCATCTTAAACTTTCTAGCCTGTCACACTTCTGATGCCTCAGTCCTACAAAAACTGAATGTCACAGCAGATGATTCACCATCAGCTGTCAAAAGCAGACCTCCTGCTGTGACATCATGGATTAGGGCATGTCCGGCAGTGCAACATACAAGTTTAAACCCAGACAGAGCAGTGCAGCTGCAGTTTCTTTGCTCTCTACAAGTGATTTGCTGTGGATTTACCCTTTTCAGCAGCAGCAGTGTGACATTACTCTTGTGACTTGGTAACAGTCTGTGTAATATGAGCTTGTACTTGCCCCCTTCGCTGTATCAGGTCAGCTCTTTGGCCGACCTTATACTACTGACCCCTCGCCTGTAAAGGCCATGCTTCTTTACCTTTTTCACTGCCACCTGACTTGATAAGCTGTCAGAGCATCAGCTGGTTGATATGTGGATCTTCAAAGGTTAACTGCATTGTGATTTCTTTTCCACTGTAACTCAACTCTCAGAGTGGGTTCTGAGCTGCCCGTGCAGTCGTCTGATAACTTAGCACTTGCTAAGTAAATAAGAGGTTTGCTTAGCTTTTAGCAACAAAAAATAATACAGTCAATAATCATAATTCCCTAAAATCACAACAAAGTGTGCATATGATTTGTTACGAGAAGGGGAAAATAAATTTGACCTCTGTCTCACTGGTGTGTCAGTTGTCAGTACAGCTATAAATAGGTCTTCTCTGAAGGTCACTTCATAGCAACAGCGCAAGGCATGTAGAGAAGCCACACTGAGGTGCTCATTATTGACTGGAGACAGTAGTCAGCGCTCAGATTAGTCTTTGTTAGTCTGTTTTCTTGCATGTAATATGCATTTACTAGATCCATAGCTGTGTTTCTTACATTAAGTAGAAAATAAAAAGTGTTTTTGCTGTAAAGGCTGTCATCTAATATAAGTGTTCAATTAATGCATGATATTCTGTGCAAAGCTATTTATGTAGCCTGAAACAAAACAATGTCATGTGCTAAAAATGTACTGTAGTTGTTATTCAAGATTTCTACATATAGTACTATAATCAATGGGGGCGGTCTGTGTGACAGCATAGTTACATACATAGTTAGAATGATTTTAGAATTATTAGCTCTTACAAATCATTAGTGTAATATTTTTTCAATGTTTTGCAATGCCACCCCACATGATACAGTACCATGCTGAGACCATCAAGAATGTCCGTGAGGCAACTGAGAGCTTTGGGCCTGGATCTGTGGACTACAAACCAGTGGCCATCGCTCTGGACACTAAGGGACCAGAAATCAGGACCGGACTTATCAAAGGCGTGAGTTCTTGCCAAATAACCAAGACTGAGATAGCTGTATAAAGGTTTGCTGCAGTGATTTTCAACCTGTGAATCAACAAACTCTTTCTAGAGTGGTACTGCTGAGGTTGCACTGAAGAAGGGTGAAACCATCAAGCTCACACTGGATGACCAGTATCAGGACGCATGTGATGAGAAAGTTCTGTGGCTCGACTACAAGAACATCACCAAGGTTGTGCAGACTGGAAGCCATGTCTACATTGATGATGGTCTGATTTCCCTCAAGGTTAAAGAAGTTGGTAAGCACACACCTATTTGTTTCATCTTGTTTGCCTCTTCATCCATTGTGTGTTTATGTTTTATTTTCTGCCTATTTGTTGAAATTCAGCTCCTCTTCATTCTCTCCTCTTGTATCTCCTAAGGCAACGATTACTTGATATGTGAGATTGAAAACGGTGGTATGCTGGGCAGCAAGAAGGGTGTCAACCTGCCCGGAGCTGCTGTTGACCTGCCTGCTGTGTCTGAGAAGGACATTCAGGACCTCAAGTTTGGTGTTGAACAGGGTGTTGACATGGTCTTTGCCTCCTTCATCCGTAAGGCTGCTGATGTTGAAGCTGTCAGGAAAGTGCTGGGCGAGAAGGGCAAGGAAATCTTGATCATCAGCAAGCTGGAGAACCACGAGGGTGTGCGCAGGTGGGTGCAGCATCAGCAGTCACAGCTGAATCTGTACAAATCTCAATCTTTACATAAATGTTTTTTTTATATCTTTTTTTGTCTGATAGATTTGATGAGATCCTGGAGGCTAGCGATGGCATCATGGTTGCCCGTGGAGACCTGGGCATTGAAATCCCAACAGAAAAGGTCTTCATTGCCCAGAAGATGATGACTGGCAGGTGCAACAGGATTGGCAAGCCCATTGTCTGTGCCACACAGGTTTGTGATACCACGCCTGAGGCATAGCTTAGGGCTGAGGCATCCAATTATGTTTGTGTAGACATAATAATTTCTAATGCTTTCTCCCACAGATGCTGGAGAGCATGACAAAGAAACCTCGCCCTACTCGTGCTGAGGCCAGTGATGTTGCCAATGCCGTGCTGGATGGCAATGACTGCATCATGCTGAGTGGTGAGACTGCCAAGGGAGACTACCCCGTGGAAGCTGTGTCCACTCAACACAGGGTAAGAGCACACTGTCTGGTCCCATTCCTCAGGTGCTATATCATGTTCACTGTATGACTGCACAGTAATGTTAAAAGGCCAACCCAGTATATTTTACAAATACTGTTGATGTACTGCATTTAATGTGAAAAGCTATGCTTAGTCAAAGTCAGTGTGTTCTGTGAGGGAGCATGCATTAGTAGTATAAATGCTCCCCAACTTCACACTGTGCGTTCAGGTGCTCTTGGGAAAATGTAACAGCTGGGTTTGAGATGGCTGCCAAATTGGAAAGCTTTTAATGAAAAAGCTACCCAAATTCACACGATTAAGCAAATCATTGGTGTTAGTAAATGACTGGTGTTGGACCTTTTTTATGCAAATGTACTCTGTTTTGTGCAGACATATTTGTTTCTGAAGCTGTTAGTTGCACTTAAAAGAGAAAAATACTTCTGAAGAAGAATTCTGCTGCTCTATCTGTCATATCAGTCAAATTTAATCATGTCGACCATCAAAACTATCCATGTTCTAGCCTTTCTTAAAAGAACAGCATTTTGGATGCGTCCAGGATCCAAAACCATGTTATATTATTTTTATTATAGGCTAATCACAAACTTCTTAATGGTGCATCCACATTCAGTGATTATACATTTTGAGTAATAAACAAGCAACTGACACATTGATAAAATTAACTTTAGACTCTGTGAACTACTTGCAGCAGTAAATATAACCAGTGCACAAAAAGCAGGAAAACATCTGCTGAAGATAATGTTGTGTGTGTGTGTTTCTAGACATTAACAAGACAAGTAGCTCCCACATTGCCAGCTCATCACTGGTATCAGCTTAGGTTTTTACTAACAGTCATTTAGCATTTGTTCAACCTGCTTTGTGTATCCTTGTTGCTGTTTTCCCTCCCTCCCTCCATCCCTCCATCCATGTCCTTGTCTCTTGCAATGTGCTTTAATTGTGTGATCAAATTGCTCAGTTAGCATGTGTTTGAGGATCTGCAGTGCACAGCAACAGTTCCTGGACATCATGGTCACTGCAGTTCTTTGGCTTCATGTCTCAGTGTGCTTTCAGGTATGAAGACCTCTGCACTAAGATCAACTTTACTTGGTTTTTTTAAAATATAAACTAAGTCCTGCAGTTAAAAATAGCTGTGTGACTGCATCCTGACACAACTGTTACATGTTTTATAAATTTTTGTTTTCACATGTTCAGATTGCCCGTGAAGCTGAGGCAGCCATGTTTCACAGGCAGATGTTTGAGGAGCTGCGTCGTATCTCTCATCTGACCCGTGACCCCACTGAATCCGTCGCTATTGGTGCCGTTGAAGCTTCCTTCAAGTGCTGCGCCAGCGCCATCATCGTGCTCACCAAGTCAGGAAGGTGAGAATTCATGGAGAAGTCCATCTCCGGGAAAACTATGGGTCATAAAATAGTCCACTGTTCAAACTGGTGCATTATAATATCGCTCTACTCCCTCCCTCCACACGGCTCATATAAAGAGTGCCAGCTTTTATTGCAGTCACAATCTGTGCTCTACTTGTGACCTTTTGAGATCTGAACTCTGACATTTTCCAAGTTAATTTTAACTCCCTGTTCAATCCTTCCCAGTGGGGAGTTCATCTTCATAGCACATGATACAGAAGGCATACCACTGTCAGCTGACTGTATTTCATTATGATAATGACATAATTAAAGTGTCTATAATGAATATATTTCTATATTAACAATGATTCATATGACTATTTGTATGTAAAAGGAGCTGCTCTTAGCAATGAACCCACAGAGAATTATGTCCCAGTTCTGCAAGTTCCTTCAAGCATTACAGCATCTTTCTTTCTTTTTTATTTGTTTTTTTGTCCACAGCTTTACTGTTTTCATTCACTTATAGCATTACTTTCAGCCATGGCTATAAAGCCTCAGGAGTTGGTGGAAACTAAAATGGAGCTAAAAGAGAGTGAATGTTCATCAGAAGCACACAAACACAGAATCCTAATATATGACACAGTTGCTCTGTAACTACTTAAGAAACTGTTCACACGTTCACCTCATCAACAAGAAAGGTGATGCAATGTCAGTGCTGTGGTTGAAGGTTGTTTGCACCCAAAAAAAATTGGTTATTGCAGGTTTAGATTTTGGCATTTGTTCAGTGTTGTGCTGAAAAACAGTTTGTAATAATTTGTACCTGTTACCCATAGGTCTGCTCAGATGCTGTCAAGGTACAGGCCCCGTGCCCCCATCATTGCTGTGACCCGCTCTGGCCAAACTGCCCGTCAGGCTCATCTGTTCCGTGGTGTCTGCCCTGTGCTCTACACCAAGCCTGCCAGTGATGTCTGGGCCGAGGACGTTGACCAACGTGTGAACTTTGCCCTGGAAGTTGGTGAGTGTGTTCTGTTGATATCTTTTAAAAGTATAGTAAAATCATTTAGAGGGTGTGAAAAGCCCAGAGGTATGAGAGCATATTGTTCATCTCCAGCTCTTTTCCCCTCCATCTTTAGGCAAGCATCGCAGCTTTTTCAAGTCTGGTGATGTGGTCATTGTCGTGACCGGCTGGCGCCCAGGCTCCGGTTACACCAACACCATGAGAGTTGTGCTGGTGCCTTGAACTTCATCAAAGGACATTAGTAACCACTCCCCCATCCCCTCCCCTCAAGAAAAGCTCAACACAGGGAGCTGTGCAGAACTTTTCTTGTCTGTTGGTCTTGTCTAACCAACAGAAAGTCAAAACCAGGGCACTCCTTTAAAAGACTTTTGACAAGTTTTGCTCACACACAGTTACTCCATGATTCCTGTCATCCATGTGTGCAATTTACTGTACAAATCTTGTTGCCACAGACCGAACTCAAAGCCTTTTAGTGGATGAAGGTTTTCCTCGGCATGCAGTAATAATTACTGTACCTACTGTCATTTTCTTAAGTTTTGGTTCTGTTAGCATCCAGGTAAAGAACAGCTGCAAATGTGCAGTATTTCTCCAGTGTATCATGCTGACTTACCAGCACAATGTTCCAGTGTGAATCGATCTGACATCCATTAATTAAAAGGAATTCTTGGGGCATCTGTGTTTTCTTTACTTAGCTTGAGTCCAATTTTTAGTTATTTGAATGATTCCATATCAGAGGTAAATGTACTTTTTACTCCACTACATTTATCTGGCAGTTGTAGTGAATAATTATTAATTATATTTTTATACAAGATTAAACTACCTAGCAGTTTCTGATGTCCTTGATCAGCCACAATACTGAAATGCTGCTTATTTATCGGTGAAGCAGTAATGCAAATAGTTTAAGTATATTTTGCTGCTAATATGTTTGCACTTTTATTTTAGATATGATTTTGAATGCGGACCTTTTACTTGTAATTGAGTATTTCTCCACTGTGGTATTGATACTTTTATACCCATATCAATAGGTTAGTATCTCTGATTGCACTATATCTGAATATAAGGTGGTGTATAGCCACAAAATAAAGAAATTAAAAACAAAATCAACATGATACACACAGAGTAAACCATCATTCATTCATTCATCTTAGTGGAGTTAGTACAGGACAGGGAACATCAGGTCTGTCTACTCTTTGCCCTGGATGACATATGACTAAGTTCTGTCTGCTTTGAATTGACCACCTCAAAGTGAAAACAGCTTAGTTGAATAAAACCTTGCAGCAGCGGTGAATTAAATATCTATAGTCACTCACTAATCTCACTCCGGGAACACGGCAGATAATTTTCTTTGTACCGACGACTCAAATATCTGACAGATGATAATCCTGGCTATTTTAAATGTTGGCAGTTCTCAATTTATAATCCGGTTTAAGGTCTGAAACTTCACCAGCGTTTTATCAGTTTCTCTTTCATGCCACAATCTGCACTTGAAAAGAAATCAACAGCTAGGACAAGCATCATTGACCCTATGTTATTTTATTGCATTGAGTTAAGTAGCTAAAATAAAATATGCCTAACATACATAGGTGATAGAATCATCAGATTTGGTGACTAAAAGGCAACAAAATGAAAAATAAATGTATGAAGAGATGAATGCCCGACACCTCCTCTCCCACACATTTTTTTTTAACTCGAATCTACTCAAAATAATCTTACACTCAATCTGAGCTGATGCCTTTGGCAGATGTTGTGGTGGTGCAGGGTTGGAGGAGAATAGTAATTAGGGATTGATCGAGCCCATTGGTAGTGACTGACAGTATCTGTCTTCTCTTGGGAGGGTTGGGGGTAAGAGTCACAGCAAACCTCTGGTTGAGTAACCAGGCAGCTAAAGCCACTGGACAGGATCCTCTGATGGTTGGACTGCTGGCCGGCTAGCTTCTCACAGTTCATCGCCGGCTGCACATCCAGACAGAGAGAGAAGTATCATCAAATCACATGAACTTATTAACCAGTAGAAGGATTTCAGAGTCTGGTTTGTAAAAAGCAGTCAAGCGATACATCTTATTGTTTCAGCATAGCATCACAAAGCAGCAGCTGTTCAGCAGTTGTAAAACTTTACAATCAAATAATGGACAATGACAGAGGTAAATATGCAGCAATATGACCCATCAGGGTTTCCTATTAACCATGTGTCCAAATAACAGCTTTTAGCCCTTTGACTGGTGCAAGAAACATTCAGATCAATCTTAGTGCATCGCTGGTTTCAGGATGTTTGATTATCAACAATTGCTTTTTTTTTTATACTTAATTCCCTTGTTTTAAATCTGTTTGAACTAAAAACAGAATCTCATCAAGTGCTTCAATTCACAGTACCTTTGTATACCCATAAAAAAACAACACGATTATTGCATACTATGCTAATGGCACACGAACCTTGGCTCAGGTGTATGTTCTGTATTGAAGTTATTGTCAGACTGAAATGTGCTGGCATCAGTTGTGTGGCTCACCACACGCCAGAGCAGCTGTGGAGGGACACATCAGAAATGCATGCACCGTCTTTGAAACTGGTTATTCTGCAGAAAGCCATCATGTTCATCATATTCAAAATGAATCCCACTTCTCACACCCAGATAAACAAACATTACAATACATTCATTACTTTTGTGTGTTGTTGATTGATCAGTTATTTCTGTGACCCATTTGGGTGTGCAATATTGCTGAAGCGCTTTCTTGGAAGACACGCTGTCGTCAAACCTTTACGTTAAGCGATTTCTGAAACAAGCAAAGTGCGCAGTCTCTGTCTCTTCTTGAATCTCTTAAGGGGTAACGGCATTCACACAACACACTCAATAGTGGGAAAGGATATAAAAAGAACAATCATTTTTGGTTTCAATCATAACTGGATACAGTAGTGGACACATTTCCAGCTAAACAGGTGTTGCTAAAAGTTTACACAAAATGGCTCTGACAATGAGAGTTTAAACAAATACAAATAACAAATCCCACAGTATGGTTAGAATATAATACATGGAACAGTTCATATTTTTATGAAGTGCTATATATACCCATGAAGAGGTTTTGGATTTAATTATATATTCAAAGAAGCAATATCCTGTAGAAAAATATCAGTCATTGTCCATTATTATCCATGATCCAGTCATTAAAAATTAAACCACTCAATTCCAATCTGATTAGAATAACACACCCTCCTACTTTCAAATTTGACAAAGCAGTGCCTACAATAATGCCAAGAAGGAGACGATCTCCATTTTGTTCAGGCATTACAGGAGGGTGTGTCTGAACCTCACAAGTTGGATGGAAGTTTGGACTTTTTGTGTTCGGTCTCTAACATCTTAGCAGGGGATCTGGTGTGAGGGGAGTGGGCACTAGTGGACTGGTTCTGAGGTTCGGGTCCTGAATGTGTCCCATTGATGGGGGTGGCTTGATCCAGGATCGGGCTGTAGGCTTTTCTGATAGGGGAGTAGAAGGGGCTCGATGCCCCTGCTACCCCCTCCGAGGACCCGCTCATTGCCGAAGGCCTTTCCTGGTGTGTTGAGCTGTGAGAGCCTGAGATAGTCTTTATTTCCTGGGTAAAGAGATCCACCGAGGACTCGGCCCTCTCTCTGAGGGTACAGGCCATCCTGGCAGGGGATGAGGTCTCGGGGGTTAGAAGGCTGTGAGAGTCCTTGGTGCTGGAGAGGTCACTGTGGTAAACTGTCTCTCCTCTCACAGGGCTTTGTATGCTGGGACTCTGGACTGGAGGTGTGTAGCAGGGCGAGCCCTCAGTGGAGCCATACTGAGCCAGGGTGGCAAGGGCCGAGTGTTCGGGGACAACCTGGGGGAGGAAAACAGACTGGAGGCCAGCCAGACTGTGCTGAGCCAGAGAGGCAGTGACCCCGGCTCCGACTGCAGACACTGGCTGAACACCTCCACCGGAGGACTGGGTGCTGGTGATGAAGGGAATCTGTGGGAGGTTCAGACTGCTGGATGTCCTGCTGGCTCTGTCAGGAGTGGGTCCCATCTTCTGCAGGGTGGCATGAGAGGTCTGTTGCAGCTGGCTTAGTATGGGGCCGACTGAACTGCAGATCAGAGGGCTTATGGTGGAGGCCGAGGGGGCTGGGACTCTCCCTGCTAGCCTCCCTGGTGCCCTCTGCTGGAGTAAGCTTACTAGGTGGGGTGGGGTAGTCATAGTACCATGGAAGTGCTGGGAGCGAAGCTGAGGGGAGCAGCTGTAGGAGACGGTGGCCTGGCTGATGGGTAAGGCAGATGCCATGCTGGAGTGGGGAGGATGGGGCAGGGGCTGGTGAGCAGGCAGAGGGGTCAGTGGCTGCAGACTGCTGGTGAAAACGGGCTGGGAAGTCAGAGTGGGTGACACAGGTCCAGTGGTGAGATGCTGTGTCCTGAGGTACGTCAGCGTGGGAGTCTCAACCCCAGAGTGGAATTTGGTGGAGCTGGCAGGAGAACCGAGCCCTGAACCACAGCAAGTGATGGTGTTGGCTGCAGCATCGGCTCTCTTTGGATGGCTGGCGGGGTCCTTCAGGGAGCCAGAGCCTGATGCCAGAGGACGGTGGAAGAGGATGGGAGGCAGCTGGGTGTGGTGGGCCAAGGCCAAAGCCAGTGGGGTGGTGGCTGCAGCAGCCTGGAGTGGGGCCTGAACCAGTGGGGCCCAGATGACTGGGGTGGGTGATGGGGGAGCTGGGGGAGGGTTTAGGCTCTCTGCGGTGCTGGTCTGAATCAGCTGTGTGCACTGGGCCATGTCACGGTCATGTTGCACTATTCTTTGGATGATCTCACTCTCCTGCAGGTTTAGTGTGCCAGAACTTTGGTGATGCTGGACCTTATGCTGAAGAACAGAGTTCCTCTTCCCTGTTATGAAAAGACAAATAAGTTCATGCCACACTTCGTACTGATGGACTATGAATCAATTGTTCCTTGATGAAAGCAAAGGTATTCTAATTAAAAACCCCACTATTTGTTTATATTGCTCACAAAAAAGGTAATAAAAACTATGTGGTTCCCGTCTCGAGTGCCATCTAGTACAAAAGTGCATTAACTCAAGTTTTCTCAAATTCTGTACTCAAGTACACTTTTGAAGTACTTGTACTTTAGTTGAGTATTTCCCTGCTATTTTACTTCATATTTACCACTCAAATAACAAATTAGTTTTATATTGTTGTATTGGTTCTTTTACTCAAGTAAAGAACAGAAGTAAATATCAGCATAATAAATAACATTAAACTGTGAAACATGAAATAGGTTGTATTTCTTGGCACACCACTCACCGATGCGGTCCAGGCGGTCGAGAGCCACGGTCTCAAAGGCTCTTCGCATCATGGGATACTCCTCCAGAACCTCGTTGAAGTTGTCTACAGACAGAGAGTAGAGCCGACAGTAGTTATCTGCTCGCACGCTGGCTGTCCTCCTGCCTCGAGTCAACAGGCAGATCTCTGCAGGGAGGGAGGGGGAAAAAAAGTTAAATTCAAAGTGTTATACAATGGTTTTCTCCTTTTTTCATACAAGTGAAACATTGCAACAGAAATCATACCTTTGTAGGTCAATTCATAAAAGGAAAGGAGATGATAGAATTACTAGTGTGATACGATAAAACATGAAAAGACAGATGCATCTGAACCCCCAACAGATGGAGCACACAATTTCTGCAGCTTAGAGTTTGTCCTGACCTCATCTGTCATGCCAGATGAGAAAAATAAAATAATGTGCAAAATAAAACAGAAAGCAGACATATTTTTCAGGACAGACATATAGAGGATATACTGTAGACACAAACACACACATTCACTCTGTTCTGTTTATCAGTTTAATCTATTAGTTTCATATGACAACATGGGACTTCTGACATACAGCACCGATTTTGCCATGTGCTAATTTTACACACATTTTCTGTCCTCATTTACAATTTTCATGTATGTGTGTGTTTTGCTGTGTCTAGAAGCTTTAAGCCAAAAATAAATATGAATATAATTTTTGCATCACAAACGCTAAACATTAAACTATAGGTTAGAAATAATCGCCATTGCCATGTTTCCCGGATGCTCTGCTACACAGCTGGATGCTGACAATGGCCAGTTAAGAGGAAGTAACACAGGTGACAACAAATGGAAAGTTCTGGATTTCAGCTTTAAATATGATGTTGACAAAGGGGGAAACCCCACAGATGGAATCAAAGCTCCCAGCGTTTTGCTCCTTGTTCTCCCAAACCTTTTTAAAGAAATGATGTGAACAATTTTTCCCAGCTAATAGTCAGAAAAATTAATCTCCTGAGTGCCCGAGCAAAATAAATCACAACATATTGTGCTATTATCATTCCTTCACATACAATACATTCAAAGTGTGCTGCTACCAGCTGCAGAATACATTAGCATGCCGCACACACAGCAGGCAGTGTGTGGATATTACCTCCAAAATAAGAGCCGTCAGAAAGCTTGGTGCTCCTGCTGCTCTTTGTCAGGACGCTGACAACACCGTGCTGGATGAAGTACATCTTCTTGCCAACGGTTCCCTCTCTGATGATGTAGTCGCCCGGCTGGAACACCTCGAAGTGAAGTTTGGTCAACATAGAGGTGACAAAGTTTGGATCAGCGTTGGCGAACAGAGGCATGGAGGCCACCAGCTTTCGACAGTTAAAGTTGATGATCTCCTGCAGAAAGGCACAAAAAATGTTTTACATTTCAGCAAAGGCAACACAAATGTCACTGTTTCTGCATGTGCACAGTTCAATCATTATAAAAGCATGGTGGTTAACAGCTTGATGCAGTTAATGAGCTTCTCTGTCCTCATACAGTCTCCAGCCATTACTAATCAGATTACATGACTATTAACATTATCATGCAAAGTAAGAGAGCCATTTTAGATTACATAAATAATTAATTATAAACCATTTAGTGCATAAATCCTCACATCATTACTTCACATATTTGCCACTGAGAGCCATAAAACGTGTTTAGCATTTATAAGTAGTATTAACTACATTTTATAACACAATATAATGTGCTTGTAAGCAGAGTTAAGGACATTTTTGTGTTTATTAATGCACAATAATTGTTAACTATAAATAAATACACTTATATTTGCTTACAATGACATTACTTTAAACCATTTATTACATGTTTGTATACCTTTTATAAATGCCACAGGTAAGTGTTACAAAAATGTCTGTTTGTTGTATCAGATGTTGGAGCCAACATTACGATGACTCGGCAACATTATCACAAAAACATGGATGATTTCTAACCTCACGCAGCGGTTCATTCAGCTCCTCCAAAATGCTCTCTTCATCAAACATCTTGCCCTGATAACGGTGTTCGTAGTAATCGTGGATCCTCTGACGCATGTCAGCAGGGAGCTTGTGGAAGGACATGTACTGCTCCACCTGTTTATACTGTAACGATAATGCCAATTCTCAATTATTAAAATGGTTAAAATTAATAGAAACATTTAAGTGAACAACTGTAATGTAAGTGCATTTGTGTGTAAGACAAAAAGTGATGTCAAAATGGATGTATTAAACTGATTGATGTGTTGGCTCAGAGGAGGACTATAATGTCTCTCATTATGTTAACAGTCAACTGTCAGGCCATCTGTGAAACCTGCCCACAGTGCGACATGGTGCCTCTGCCCCATCTGACAAATACAGTTGTGCTCTGCAGGCTGCAGCTAATAACATTAACTGGTGTGTCCTTCAGCAGTGTACTCTGCCAGCAAAGCATCAGAAATGGTCAGGGTTTATTCAGCCTATGTATGTTATGCACTGCTGTAAGTCCATTTCCAGTTACTATGTTAAAAATCAACAACAAAAGCAAACTTTTTGTGCCTCTGGTCTCCCTGAGTGAGGCATTTTCACACCTGCAGACCATCAGTAAACAAAAAGGTGGCTTTACTCTTCACATCATTGCTGGATATGCAGTAATTCTTTGTCACTTTTCTTTACAACATTAACATCAGCAGTTTCGCCTCATTTCGAATCATTTCAATCATTTAAAGTCACGGCAGAAACTATTTCAATAGCAATACCACAGTATAAAAATACACAAGTAAAAATTAAATATTCAAAAACTTATTTTCATAGAACTACAGAATTACTATCAGCTAAACATACCTGACCTGCTAAAAGTAAAAGTAATCATTATGCAGAAAAACAAACCCTGTGAATTTAATATTATATTGTAGGCTATTACATTATTAAAATATTAACACTGATGAATTCATGTGTTAGTAGCATTTTACTGTTGTAGTTTGGCAAGGTGAAGCTAATTTTAACAACTTCATATACCACTGAAAAGCTTAATCTGTAACAATGCATCGTACAGTGGAACCTCGGTTTTCGTGATTAATCCGTACGAAAAACCGAATCGTACGAAAAGTAGGGCATACGAAAACTGAGGTTCCACTGTATTTTACAAACTGGTCATATGTTTTGTGTGTAAAACCTTAATATAAAAAGTAATTGTTAATAATATCTCTTTCTGAAATGTAGTGCAATATAAGAAAAAGTAGAATGAAATGAAAATACTAAGGCAAAGTACCTCAAAAGTGCAATTATCGTATTTAGCTATATTCCAGCACTGATTTCAACTCTGTTAGACCCGAAGAAAGTTGATTGTTCTATGACAAATACGAGCCAAGTAGGGACAGACCACCCACCTTTTCCTGGTACTGCCTCCTGGAGGAGTCCAGAGACTGAATGAGTGCAGTCGCATGCCCCACAAACATGGCGAAGCACGTAGCGCCCACAATCATACTGAGGATGGTGAGCCACACGTCAGCCATGCCGATAGGAGGGTGCAGGCCGTACCCAATGCACAGCATGTGACTCATGGCTTTGAATAGTGCGTAGGAGTATTGCTGACCCCATGTGTCATTCTGGAGGAGATGTGGAGGAGAAGGTTTATCAGCAACACTAAAGGAGCAGCATGTCTCTGTGAGCCTTTTCAGAGTTCAAGAACAAGAAATCGGGCCTTTATTTTACAGGTCTGTCGGCTTTGAAGCAGCTCATGAGGCGCTCGCACTATTGTCGCAGAATGGATGGACAATAATTTAGGCACTTACATTGCTGTCCTGTTTTGTGTGTGTGTAGGTCTGTTTCAGTTCCCACTATGTCTTTTAATATATTATGTACTCAGCAATTAATAAAGACTATCTATAAATACCCCCCCCAAAAAATTCATTTTTGAGTAATCTGCTGATTACTTTCTCAATTAAAGTGATTAATCATTGGGTCTTCATAATGTCAAAAATCTTCCCCAGAGCCCAAGGTGATGTCTTAAAATAGCTTGTTTTATTTAACCAGCATTCCAAAATCCAAAGATATTCTGTTTACTGTCATAAATGACAAATAAAAGGTTCGAATCCTCAAATTTGAGACTAAAATTAGGGAATGTTTGGTATTTTTGCTTAAAGAATATTAAAAATCACTCAATTATTAAAAGTATTAAAATCATAGCTGATTAATTTTTATGTTGATCAACTAAGTGATTAATCAACTGCTACATCTTTAAATATGATTTGAATTTCCTGAAAACTGGTTTCAAAGCATCCATCCATTATCTATACCGCTTATCCTCAACAGAGTCACTGGGGGGCTGGAGCCAATCCCAGCTGACACTGGGCGAGACCGGACACTGGGCGAGAGGCGGGGTCCACCCTGGACAGGTCACCAGTCTATCACAGAGCTGACACTTAGAAACAGACAATCACACACACACTCACTTCTACAGGCAGTTTAGTCACCAATCAACCTAACACCGTGTCTTTGGACTGTGGGAGGAAGCAGGGGAACCTGGAGAGAACCCACACAGGCACAGAGAGAACATGCAAACTCTGCATAGAAAGGCACCGGGTCAGCCGGGGATCGAACCCAGAACCTTCTTGTTGTTTCAAAACATATCTGTATGTAATTCTCTACACTATTAAATGTCCATGACCAAATCAGCAACAATCCAAGTTAAAGTCTGAAACAAAAACGTCAAAGTATTGTTCATTAAGAGACTGAAAACATTCAAGAACTCAGTGGCTCAGTTTCATCAGGTCTACACAGTATGTGTGTGTGGTCCGATCAGGTTTGACTGACAGTGACCCCACACCCCACCACCTGTCGCCAAATTTTGATGCAAATGTTGCTAATATTTTTCAGTGGAGACCCACCCACTTCAAACCAGTGATAAGAGCACAGACAAAACATAATGTCTGCATAGTGTCTGACTCATAAATAATCCACCTACCACCATCTTGTTTCTAGTGACCCAGCAGTCAGCAGGGAAGTCCTGCAGCATGGGAACCAGGAACTGCAGACAGCCATCCCAGTGGCACAGCAGCAGCATCATACCAATCAGGTTCATGATACGCACCATGGCACTGGCCAGATCATAGGTCATATGGAAAACCTGTGACACAGATTATCAGCATTAATGCAACTGGCACAACAGACACACATCTCTTTTTAACTAAATAAAGAAAATGTCATTTTTGCTCTCATGCAATCAGAGGATTTGAAATACAGAGTAGATGCTGTGTGGGCCAACAGACAGCATGCCTCGCTGATCTTAATCTTCTATAGTCCATGAGAGGCTGTTTCTGTGTTGCATAACCATCTTGCAAGCAACATTAATGGCCTATGGAGAACACAGCTGAGCTGGAATTTAAAAAAAGATAATGCAGGAACACATCTGTTATTAAGTAACCCGATCTTGTGTAAGTATGTGTGAGCCTCAGAGGAGAACCAAAATTTTAACCACATAGCGTTAAGACATTAGACATTTACGCTACAAAAAGTGTCACGATATGTGTTCTTGTCATTACTGACAGCAAAAATGTTATTTGAAAGACGTTGTGTGAAATCTGCTAGTGCAGGGGAACTCTGACTATGTTCAGGACAGCATTCTGAGTCAACCAACAATTATTTTCATTAGCAGTTAGCCTGTGTATTCTATAAAATGTCAGAAAATGGTGAAAAATGCTCATAGCATTCTCAAAGCCAATAGGTGGTGTCTTTAAATCACCTGTTTTTGTAAAACTAAGGGAATTCAATTTACTACTCAGACTTAAACTCTGAAATTCTGGTTTTATACTATATATATCGTGTTTCTCTTTGCCTATGTAAAGCAATTTATATTGCTTCTGTGTATGAAACGTGCTATATTTGTATAGCTTCCTTGCCTGAAATTATTCACATTTAAAAAGCTGTAGGCAGAAGATTTCTGACATTTTTCACAGTGACTAGAATGATTTTCTAAATTGTTGCTGACTCATTTTTGGCTGAATAATTATTGTACATCACAACAATGATTTAAATATCCATAAAGCTGTGTGTTATTAGCTAGTGTAGTCTTATGTAGGAAGATCCAAAACGCTTATCCCTGCAGGATCTACCTCTAGTGGTGGATGTAGGGGATGAGTCTGGGGGGGCGCACCAGCCGCAGCAGACTGAGGATCTTGGTGAAGCGGACGATCCTCAGAGCGCGGGCCGTCTTGTAAAAGTCTGAGTTGATGCGTGTTTCTACGATAAGAAAGATGTAGTCCACAGGTATGGAGGAGATGAAGTCCACGATGAACCAGCTCTTTAGGTACTTGATCTTGATCTGCTGTGGGTCTAGGATAATCTCTGTGTTGTCCTCCTTGACGATGCCCGTGCGGAAGTTGAGGACCAAGTCCATGAGGAAAAAGGTGTCCGAAACCACATTAAAGACAATCCAGGGTGGCGTGTGCTCGTCCTTGAAGAAGGTGATGCCCACAGGGATGATGATGAGATTTCCCACCATCAGCAGCAGCATGGTCAGATCCCAGTAGAACCTGAAATACACAGCAACACATTTAACTTTCATATCTAGATAAGAGCAGGCTAAATTCGTTTAGGCCCAGAAACGGTCCTTCAATAAATCATCATAAACTTCACTCATACCTATGACAGAATACATCTCAGCATGCGTTAGTGACATCCAGGAGCCTTCATGCATTAATGTACCTTCAGTTATGCCACACATTTTTAAAGGATTTCTGACATTTTTGTGCTTTTATTTGAGATGTGGTCTCCATAGTCAGATCTCAGATTTTTTAAGGTCACCGACTCAACCCCCTGGACCAGCAGGATTACATCTGGGTGGGACAGGTGACAAAGCAGCGCTCGTCTCACCCTTATTAACCTGACTGGTGCCCTTGAGCAAGGCCCCTAACCCCAGTAGTTCCAGTGGAGCTGCCCAGTGGCCACAGGTCAATCTGTGGCCTCTCAGTGGACCTACCCTACATAAATAAAGGTTATAAAAACAACATGATTAATTGATAATGAAATAACTGTTAGTTGCAGCGCTGGTAAAAGTAGTTTGTAGTTTATGGTCAAACAGTAAAGAATATCTGAAGATACAAAAACAAATTATCAATAGTCACTAATTTTAACAGCTGTTGCTGATCAATTTAACAAACATTTTAAAGCAGGAGTCTGAGTCAACTGTATCTATGTGCACACTGAGTGTGTGCTGCATATTCAAAGCAATTGTGGATGTGTGGGAACTTCAAATAGAAATTAATCTCTGTGCAACTTGCAGTCTCACACTACAACACAAATTCCAGGGGGTTTATGTCCAAATGAACAGAAACAATGTAAACAGTCTGCTTGAGTGTAAACATTAACAAAGCAGGAAAATGGTTGACTCAAGACAGTGGTTCTTTTCTTCAGATCAATATGGTGCTTCTAGCTACACACCAGGGACGGAGAGGAAAATGGGTTATTGGAATTTATCTAAATTCCTCGTGAAAAAATGGATTTTCACAACTAACGTGGCCCTCAAGTAACAGCAGCAAAGTGTTCAGCTCATTTATAATTGGAAGAATAAGAGGACAGTACAATAATTCTTCTAGTAGCAGCATTAGGAATATTTTATTTGCCAAGCAGTTTACAGCACAACCCTAAACACACAGAAACATACAGCTCAGCTACATACGTTCCAGCCAAGATATGGAGAGTGTCTGTGTGTAAATTACCAGTTTGCCTGTGAATGTGTGAGACTTAAATAACTGGTGATCAATCAAACAGGAGACTGACACTCCTACAGGGCCAGTACAACCTGCATTACACAGCATGTGGACAACATGCATGAACGCTTGAAAAGAGGATGTAAGTCAGAGGAAATGCAACCTTTAAAAAAGCACTGACTGAAAAATTGACTTACCATCTTGTCGACAGGTATAAATCAATACTTTAGTCATGACGGACTGCGAGAGAAAGGTTGGAGTATTTGACTAAATGTGAGGTGATAATGACTCCAAACTTGGTGAAACAAACAGGAACCACAAAACCACACAGGCATAATAACATTCTCTGGGTTCACATGAGGGTCCAGGAAAAAAGTGACTGACAGTATTGACATGAATAAGCTTTGTCCAAATCTACAAATTGTGTTTTACTTACACCCAACCTTCACAGAAGAACACAAAACCAGGGGACCAGTGAGGGCAGGGTGGCCATTTGTTTTAATCAGCTTTCTGTTGTTCTCTGCCAAACAAAGCATTTGCATTCCTCTCTTCATCTGCCTGTTGTCTCTGCAATGGCACACTGGTCCTAATTGCACTTCCCCTCTCTGGCTAAATCCACCGTTATCTCCTGGGAATCCATGTCATCTCCAGAAATCAGCTCCCATCAGCCAGATGTTGAGTAGTTAGGATTACTGATCCACACACGTCAGTGAGCTACAGAACCCTGGAACAGCTGGACCAAAAGAAACATTCAAATTTGTAGGGGACAGTGTGCATTACTGCCGGCCCTTGCAAACCGTCCTACATGATCATCATTTTGACAGTGCATGCAGCATTTAGTCAACAAAGATCAGACAAGTTGTTGGTGTAACCTGGTGTTACCATCAAAATAAAGCTGACAGTTGTACAGTCTCTGGACCTTTACTAGTCCAGAGAGGAATTTTGCACTATTTGGGTCAGAGTGCAACTCAGTTAAACAGCATGAGAGCACAAAGAGAGGCGTTATAAGCAAAGTGAACACAAAAAGGCTTAAAATGGTAAAAGGAGCTTAGATCAATCAGGACAGTTGAAAAAGGGATCACATTTGTACCAGAGATACTTATCTCTTTCTGTCAGAGCACAGCTGAAGCGTAACAGCCTGTGTGCAGCTCAGTGGCTTAACGCACACCTGTAGTGGGGCTCCAGCCTACCAGCAATCATACTAACCATATTTACGCAGCATGCCAGTTCAGTACGTCTGCTGCTGTAACCACATGAAGCCTTAATAAAAGACAATGTTTACTTATGATATTAAAGATGGTGTTCATAAAAAGAGAGGAGCAGAGAGTTGCTGCACAGTGGCCATGGAAACAGTATGTCAGCCCACTGTTACAGAGACGACGGAGGGAAGTTGACTGCAGGATTTGAACCTGCAATGTTAGGTGCAACAATGTCTCATAAACCAAAACGGTCCAAATAATCTTTGATGGCGCAAACTCTAACTTATCATTATTGTTAACACCCAATAACTCATACAGAGAGTTAACACCTGGGTGCCCTGACTTCTCACAACATCATTTTCATTTCAGTCTTTCTTCGTGTTTCTCCCTCTCTGTGTCCAGTGGTTTGTGGTGTGCCCCCCCTCCCCAGCCACACCATCTCTGCTCCATTAGACTAATTGTGCTGTAATAATCTGCACTGATGTGTGCTTCTAATATCTTCAATGGCCATGCTACCCTGTTTTGATTACCCCATTTCCAAGCCCCTGTTGCACTCTGTAATCCACTGCCTTTGCTCATCAGTGAACAACTAGCTGGTGAAAATATGATGACAGTGAGCCTCAAGGTTAAATGTCATAAAAATCTCTTGATGGCAGCGATAAATAGAATGCTGATTTGTATGCAGCATGCAACGAAATGTAGAACAGGAAGGCTTGTAAATGACTAATTTCATTCATAGGCAGAGAACTTTGTACAAAAATTGGGCTAGATAACTGTATATCCTATTCTTGTGTGTATTGAATCATATACACACTTCTCTGGGCTGAAGAAAATAGAGAATTTATCCCACAAAAGTGTGCTACCATTTGGTATGTTACACTCCCTTTGGCTATAAAATGCTTCTCTGTACTAAAAGCCTATAGTAGACTATAATTAAATCTTTGATAAAAGATCATTTTCAGAAATTAAGCCATTTACCTATTCAAAGTGTGTATGGATTACCAAGGCTCATTATTCTTATGATACACCTGAACTGCACAGGCTCACAATCCTGATTATCACGTTATCGATATATCATTACATAGTGACAGAAGAAGAGATGTTCCTGGTATAAGGGATTAGTCTGTCCTTATCATATTTCATAACGTTTTATGTCTCATTGAGATTAGGGTGTTTTATAATAATGACTTCTACTATATCTGTAGGCTAAGAGTCTGATGTTACTGGATCACTGCAGCACTTTTTGTATGCCACCATTGCTGGTAAAGAAAGGTTTTCTGTGCGTAAAATACCTAAAATCACTGTATGGGTGGATTATCCAGAAGCCAGCAGACTTTACTCGTTCCCTCTCGTGCTCCACGGCCCTCTCACTCCCCAACATCCGCAGAGAAAACTTGTTGACTCCCGGTTGGAGCATCGCCCCAAACTGCCGGTGCATGAATCCTGCTTGGTATAGCCGGTCATCTTCTGGTACTATGATTTGCTCGGTACCCTCCAACTTGATGAAACTTGACTGGTCAACCACGGATGCTTGCCCCACTGCGCCACTCAGACCACCCGTTGCCCGCTGCTGGGCCCCGGGGCTGTGCTCACCGGGGAAACTCTCGCTGGCACCGGTATCAGCATCGGGGGCGAGGCGCCGCTGCTCCGCTGGTTCTGACCCGCAAGGATGTCGCCCAGTGATGGAAGAGATACTGCTTCTAAATAAGCGACAGTCCCCATTCAAGTTGGTCTTCACAGTAACGTGCCTTTCCAAGTCTTCGCTCCTGGCCTCATCAATGCTCTTGCAACTGCTTGCGGGAGACTGGGAGGACAAATGTTTTAGCCGAATACTTTTCCTCTTAGTGTCCTTGTCGCCGTTGTCTCCTTCGTCAATCACAAAGGGTTTCTGCCCAATGTTTTGCGGCAAGCTGTACAGCCGTTTGCGCATGGAAGACTGGAACCTTTCCATTTTGATGAAAGATAAGAAATGAGCTCTAAGGATAACCCGTGGCAACACGGGGATGAATCATGAATCTCATACACTTGGAGAGCCAGTGGAGGCAAAACAGTGACGGTGCATCCGCAGGACGGGTCCTATCTTATTTGACACTTGGAACGTGCCTCTCTTCCCCCGGTTCAAACATTGAGATTAACAATATTTGGCCGCACAAATATATGTGGCCGCATCAATCCGACGGTCATGTAAAAGCCATAAACGGGAAATGCATGTAAATCCAGGTAAACCCATAGCGTACAGACGAGAGAGCATCAGGATGCAGCATGCTGAGCGTCGGACGTGCCGGAGAGGAAGACTGCTGCTGCTGCTGCTGCTGCTGCTGAGCTCCTCAGTGACAAAGCATGATCTCCACCTCCCCACTACATCGGAGCTCTCTGTCAGTGCAAGGTGATGACATGCACGCAGCTGTCACCGGCATCCAAACAGCGCTGAAATCACGGAGACATCGGCCTCCCGCTTTCTAATAACGTGAATATTGATAGACGTGATCTATCGGATTGCCATAGGAGCCACGATGGCACGTGCGCTCACCCCGCAGACTCAACCCAGTCAGCCCAGTCAGCCCAGTCAGTCCAGCCTTGGAGTTGATAGTTTAGCCTCCTAGATGTCAGAGAATGCAACGCGTACATCATTGCGCAAATGTTTGCCGACGGGTCTGCAAACAATGATATGTTGTGTATTTTCTGCAAACAATTTATGTTGCAATCTAAGCACATGTAAAATTAATAAGTCAATAAATGAACAAATACTTTACATGTTAATAATTCACTCAAATAAGCTGCAAAATCGTTTTAAAAACAACAGCTTACAACAAACAAATATCTTAGCATGACAGCCCATTATCACCCCTAAAAGGCTACGATATCTACTGTAAGATTTCTCACCAGTATGATACAGGTTTTATTAGCCACTGCTTGTTATTTACATCTGCGTCTTGGCGCCTGCACTTTAAACTTGGCGTCTCCTTACCAGGAACAGCCCAGAGGAGGGTTTTACACTCTGTGCCTTACTCCAGTCATCCCTATCTACATTTTCCAGGCCACAAAACCTTGTAGATTGAGCTCTATGCTCGTTATTGGTAAAAACATGCTGACTTTATGTGTGTAATTTATTAGCTGAAGATCAAATGATTCTATCACCCTCACTGGATAACATCCAACAGAAAACATTCACTGGTCTGTATGTTGGCACATATTATAAAACAGATTTTTTTTTTCTGTTACAAAGAAAGGTCTAACTCTTACAACATGCAATTTCAGCAATGTGTATCACAACAGGTACTGCCATCAAATGCTACACACCTAAACATAGATCACTAGACCACAGAACATTTATATGGTGCTATGGCACTAATCTCAAGAGCCGTTGGTTTTGCTATAGGTATCACAAAAAGCCTGTTTTAATTGGTTTATTCAGTTCCAATGTTTAAGAAGTTGTCTATCATTCTGATTTAAACTTAACCTGAAGTCTCACTGCCTGAATAAGACATTAATCCACATAAACAGCAAGGTCTTTTTCCCCCCTCAGGGTTCAAAGTCACTGATATCTCTTTTCTCTAGAACTGGATCGGTTTTATCACCACATACATATTCATCTGGGACACAGCATTACGTCATGTGAATCGGGTCCAGACAATTAACAGATTCATTTTTAAAAGGTAAAAAAAAACCCACACTTCTTCCAGCTGATCTGTTAATACAGTAGTTATGGAAATGATGCAACAAGACATGGCCACTGGTGCCACCAGACTACAGGCACAGTAAAATAGCACCTTGTCCAATTTCCACCGTAATGTGTTGAAAATGCTGCCCACTGCTGTTCATGGATAACAGGAGAAAAATCACACAGTGGCCACTTAATTAAATACACCAGTAAAATCTAATGCAATCCAATACAACGGCTCAACAGTAAATTATTCCTTTAATTTCATTTGACTGTGTATATTAACTCAGGTTACCAAGTAGTTTGCAGGGGTGCTGAACTGCATTATATGAACAGGTGTTTACTTTTCCCACACCTTTTAAAAGAGGAGAAGCATGTTTGAGACAAATCTCAACACTGAGGTCACGGTGCTCAGCTGGAGACTGTGATGCTGTTGAACCATACTGACTTATACTGACAGCCATTTCTATTTGTTTGTCCACCCAAATTATATCAGTGAGGCTACGCTGAATATCTGAAACACATCTGTGAACATATGCATGAAATACATAATTCTGCAAACTGTATTTCACTATTGTCCAAATACTAGTTGAAATCTTTCCCCACAATGAGAAGAACATACTGATGAATAGTGGGGAATTTTGAAATAAAATGATTGTAATTCATGTTTTTGGCATAAAATCATGTAATGTTTGAATCTAGGAACTTTCCGAGTTAACCTTTTTTCACATCGAATCTGGAGTGTGGACATCACAAACAATGGCAAGAAGAAAAAGTAAATTCTAAACACAAATAGTAAATTGTGTTTCTCTGCATACATAAGAATTATGAGTGTTAATCAAAGTTTTCCAACTGACAAAATTTGACACATAAGACACATTTGTGTACCAAGTGCAGATTTTTACTCAAGGTTTGTTGGTTATTGGTCCCCTGGTGCTTACAGTTCATCATCATGTTCTACTGTGAGTCACTCGAGCTCTCACTAGATGGCGCTGTTGGGACTAATGAGCATCTATAGTGTTGCGGACAGAAACCAACTCGGACACGATTTCTTTTTCGAGATATTTATTCTTAAAAATGACTGCGGATCTTGGAATTGCTTCACATGTCAGTCCTGATGTGGGGTTTTCTTCGCCGCCTCCCACGTCAACTGTAGAGAATTCATCCAGCTGTGTAGTTTGCCATCGATGCTCTAATGTGATCCTACTAGTTTAAAGCTTTGTCACAGAAAAATCAAAAGCTGTAATGATTTTCAATATAGTGATATGGATAATAATTGCATAGGATAATAGCCATGCTGTACAACACACATAATTATAAAATACTATGATAGAATGATGAGTACAGAGTTCCTAAAGTATATTTATAGTCATTTCATTATTCCTAACATTTAGGTGCTTCATACAATATGAATAGCCTTTATGTTAATGGTGATCTGATAAATATCTAGTGATTTAATACATAAAGTACATACATACAGTAAAGTAAACCTTAGCCAAATTTAGAGGGACACTGCAAAGCCCTTAAAATGTAAAAGATATTGTCTGATAAAATGATAAAACCTAGAAAATGGTATGCAGCGGGTGATAAAACTGTACAAAACTGTCATACCAGATTACAGTGGCATTTTCTTTTACATTGCTGAGTATTGTTTTTCCTCTAGAACACACAGTACAGAGTATCTACATGAAGCCACTCTCGGAGAAAAGAACACAAAGTCATTTCTGTATCAAACAGAAAGTCAACATCTTGCATGCATTACTTTAGAAGTCGTAAAACCTAGCGAATAAAAGGGATCAAATCATAGACAACAACTGCATGCAGCAACAATGGTTATAATGTTAATTCTATAGTGGTTTGAGTACATCCTGATCTCACACCCACACACAGTAAAATCATAAGGCATGCCTCATTTAATTCTTCCACAGCCGTACTTTCAATGGCTGATACATCCTTTCAACAACTGGTATAGCTCCCTTCCTGTTTACCTTCATATGGTCAATAAATGTGTAATGAAACCTGCAAATAAAGAAAAAGTTCTACTTGTGAGTCCAGTCTTATTTTGGTTTACAAGGGCTGAGTGATTATTGCTTATTGTACTGTAGGTCACACCTTTGTGATTTGTGGCCACAGGCTTATATTATACATTTATCATCAGGCTTCCTCTTGTTGATTTAATACTTACTCAGACAGGCCGCTCAGTTTGTATTCCTCTGGCGGAGGTTCTTGTCTTTGTGGTTGTTGGTTGAATTGGTTTTCCTTAAGCAGGAAGCAAATGGCGCAGTCAGTTCACACTTGAAATGAAAAATGTGTATATAAGTGCTAAAACAGAAACTGTAGTCACAAGAGTAATAGAACATGGTTTGTAAATTCTAATAATCACTGTAGTCATTTATTAAATAAAGACACGAAAGCTTTGCTTTTCTGTTTCACCTCCTATAAATTAGATACATTTGGTGGCTGATCAGAAGAACAAACTCATTTAAGTCGTATTTTTAGCGTCTGCCATTTGTGATGAGAATCTAGCATCAAATTTTATAAACACATAAAATAATTCAATTTAGAAAAACAAAAAAAAATAGTGGATTAAAGGGACATTCCACTAATTTCACCCACTTGGCCTGTGAAAAGGCTTAGATTCTAATATTCCCTATTGCTCTGAAATGAGCCTGAGACTTATTAGCAGAATACCCCTTTAATATGCTATTAAAATACTTAGCTGCATCACAACAAACTGCTGATCACATGAAAACAAATTCTACTTTTCACTGACCTGAATGCAGGCACAGCTGTTAAACTATTCTTATGTTATTTTTTTACCTTTTAAAGGTAACATTTTACTTTAAGTGTCTCTATTTAGCATTTATAAGCCTCAACACACATAGTGCAGTTAAGGACATTTTTAGTGTTTATTAAAGTTTATTTGTCAAAAATGATGGCATCCTAGTGAGGCATATTGTATAACATTATTATGTCATTCGGGATCAGTTTATACACTTATGGGTGTCCACAGAAAGAGTTATAATTGTTGACACATGTTGAGTTAATACTCGTTTATTAAATGTTTATATTTGCATATAAATGCCAAACAGAGGTATTTAAAGTCAAATGGTGCCTTTTTAAGTCTTGGAGCATCATGGCCTTTCTAATCAGGATAATTAAATGAGAAGTCTTCAATGACAACAAAAGTGCCCTTGATAAAGATTCAAATATTTCTGTTTTCTCAGAATGCAGCAAAGCACCATGACATGATGCTCCAAGTTATTTGGGATCCAGATCTGTGGTGTACCGGGTCAAAATAATACATTGTGCATGATGCTAAGCTACAACAAAAACACATCACTGTACCAAGCTAAGCAGAGACAAGGTAGTAAAAGTAAAATGATTATACTCACACTGGTCCAGCTGGGTCATCGTCTGAGGCAACAAGGAAAAATATGGAGAAATGAAGACCACAAACAAAATAATCGCAAGGAAGCTGTACACGTTTATGAGATGACTTTTTTTTGGTTAAACAGAAAGATGAAAGAGTAGCTGTGGCTAGCACACAGTGCACTTGGCCCTGAGGTTTTTGAGGATTTCTAGGTTTCAGCTATACTGTATGTGCAGACTGTGCTATGCAATGAACACACAGCCTAGATGAAGAAACCAAATAGTAAACCATAGGCCGTCATGCTGCAAGAAAACCACCTCATAAGGTCACTCACAAACACACAGAATGCCATTCAAATGCAGCACGTCACATTAAAACGCATGAGCAGGTACGAACTATTACATACGAGCAAAATTCTAAATTTGAATACTGTTGTCATGCACAGTCAAGAAATGCTCACAAAGAACAGCCGGTCACTCAGAGAGATTAGTGAGAAGCAGCTCCATCAATATCAGCTCTCTACTGTAGCTACAGTAATAATGAAGACAATATTCTCAGTTCTTCACTCTTTGCATGCCATTTCACTGCTGTGCTAATTATGGGCTTGATGCAGAAATATGAAATTACTGTTTCTTAAAAACAAAAAATCTTGAAAACTGCACTCAACACTTATGTTAAACAGAGGAAGCTACAAAGAACTGTGCACTGTGCTGTGAACTGCACGAAGATGAGGCTGAATGCTGACTGAAATTCATGAAGCATGCAAAGTCTCACACTTACCACAAACATGGTTTAGGATATGCAATTTGGGGAAAGGAGTGGATGAGAGATATTACAACAATCTATTAAAATATTCATCAGCCAAAGCAAATTTCAAGAAAGGAAAGGAAAATGTGAATTATTAACATTTCAGATCTCCATCTATTTCACAAAGGCTGTGAGGATTCTCAAGGTGACTTAAGCACTATGAATTCTACAACTGTCCATTTCTGAGCATGTGGTGAACCGTAATATTCCTGTGCAGAGATTGAAAGTGTCACCGGGAGAGCTCACGTCATTCACCGCATGTTGCATACGACAGCACCAAAATTCAGTTTCAAAGGAAAAGGTCACCCAAATACCATTAGTGCATAATTTATTATAAGGCTAGTCTCTTGAAAATGAAGTACTCAGTAGTAGTAGAAAATCCCAGGATGGCATATGCAGGCTGGTATAAATCATGTCTTGTGGTTAAGCTGGGGGAACAGCACAAGGTCCCAGGAAAGCCAAAAATACTTGAGACTGTCCACCTCAATTACACTGCAGTATCATATTTCTCATTAATATTAAATGCATGGAATCATCCTGACAATGTGTGTCCTCTGCAACAGTGTCTGCCTATTGGGTTAACCTCAGCAGACTAAATTATTGAATGCAGGCACAGCACAGTATCAGGTGACTCTGTGAGTGTCTGTGATCGAGGAGTAACGTCACCAGAGACACTGAAATCAAAACGTGACGCCTTCCACAGCCGCCTCACCCAGCACCCATTCTCTAAGTTTTGGGACGCAAAAGAATTCACAGGAGAAATCCATGTCAAGACTGCCTAATAAAATCAGTTTCTCCTCAGGCATTTTTGAAAACAGCTAAATAATAAAACACTCCTAAGCACCATCGCTGGAGACTCACCGTCTTGTAGATCGTCTGGCTTCTTACGCTTCTCATAAACAACAATAATGACGATCAGGATGATGATTTCGGCCAGAACTCCCAGGAGAGGCCATAAGGGGGCCAAGTGGCTGCGAACCCTCAGCAGAGAGCTCTCGTCACGGCTGCCAATTATATTGGTGGCGTTGCAGTGGTACTCGCCCGGATCTAAACTAATGTCCAGGCTGAAAATCTGGAGCTCAGTGTAATTGTCTCTGCTGTTGATGAAGAAACGTCCAGTTGTGTTGTCAATTTCCTATTGAGGGAGACAGACAGAGTCTCTTTTATTTTAGGTGAATGGTGACAAATCAAAGGAAAAACTAACAAAGTGAGTAACATGCACTTTTAATAAAGTGCCTGAAGAAGAGCTTTCTTTGCTCCCCTGTTGGGTGGGGTGGGGGGTGGGGGGGGTATATTCTTGAAAAAACCTGAGTTCAACACACTTTTTCATACTCATTAAGCCATTCAGTAGAAAAGAGCTGCAACCTTTAGTCAATTAACTCATAGAAAATTAACCAGCAGCTATTTAGAATAAACATTTTCTGGTTCTACCTTCTCTAATGTGAGGAATTGATCCTTTTCTTTATCATACATGATAATGAACTGACTTTGGATGTGTTGGTTGGAAAAAAACAAGACATCTGAAGACACATCGTTTGACTCTGGAAAATCAAAATGAATATTTTCCCCAATATTTAACAATAAACACAACAGTTTTGTTGGTTCAGACTCCACAAAACTGAATGAAACCTCTCTGTGCATCTCGATGTTAATGCAACTCATGTAAACAAATTAAAGCAGTATTTAGGAAAATCTATTGGTATAGTGTATATAACACGTACCCTAAAAAAGCCATTGTCAAACTTGCGCCAGGTCCAGACAGGGTAAGGATAGCCCACAGACTTACAGTAGAGTAAAGCACGCTGGCCTTCATTCTTATTCTCACTACGCTTGTGGCCTGTAATCTCAGGAGCAGCTAAAACAAGAAAATATCAAAGAGCCACTGTTACATTCCATTCAAAACACTCACAGAGGTAAAATGTTATACTGCGAGCACAGTATTCGGTTGATAATTTGTGCTCTCTCTTTCCATTGTCAAGTAGAAACTAATAAAATTACTTTTTAAATATCAGGTAAGTACATGGTGTTTATAGAAGACAACTGCCCTGATAAATGAAACTTTTCAGGTGTTTTACAATGGTCAGATCATGATTATTTTTTATCAGAGTCCCTTTTAAGTAAGATGTACAAAGCACTTTCCTGAGTTAGGGAGATAACAGAAAATTTAATTGGCAGCTGTATGTGATAAAAAGAAATGCATAGAATATATAAAATAATGAAACTCCCAATAAAAGAGTAGATTACACATCCACATTTACATCTACTAAATAATGGTAATTACCATTAAATCTTTTATGACCAGGAGAATTTACATTAGGAGACATGGAAAAACTTACGTGTGAACAAAATCATTCATTCACTATATTTATCTAATTTATCAGGAGCATTTCATCCAAAGTAACATGAAACTGTTTGTATCATTCAGTGTATTCTATATATACATATTATAAATATTCCTTGATGTAAATCATTTCTCTCCCTGGATGAATAAATGCCCCATAAAACCAAGTAAACTATCCCAAAATCAAACTGGCTTCCATAGCAATGCATTTCTGTGTGTGACAGCAGAAAAGACCAGATTTGACCACGGAGACATAATCCCTTGCCATCAGACAAACAAGACACCATCTGCTGCAACTGAGCCGGACATTGGTTAGACGGAGGTGTCGAGGGCGCCGGACTTCTCCAAGCAGCCAGCAGAGCTGTTTGAAATCACGGGTCGACACATGACAGGGCTGCTAGTGCTCAATGCTATTCAGGCCATTTTTACTGTGGCATCTCAAAGTGGCCTTGAAACTGTCAAAGATGCATGTACCTCACAAATCAACACCTACATTTAACTTCGATGGTGGCATTGGCTGGAGGAGCCATTTCAAAGAGGTAGACACACATGTACAATCCAGCGTCGTCTCCTCTTGGTCTGTCCAGCCTGCAGAACAGAAACACACCTGATGTGAACCTACAGCAGGCTGTTGAAGTCTGTGTTTAGCACTCACACACAAAAGGTGCATGAGATTTTGCCAGGACTCCTACCTGTACTCAGTGTTCTTGTTCTGGCTGCGTGATTTGGGGATCTCCTCCCCATTCTTCATCCAGTAGCTCTCCTTGTAGACACCGTTGACACTGGTCAAGTTGCACTGCAGCGTGAGAGAGTCGCCTTCCACTGGAAGCGTGGCATGATCAGAGGTGGTGATCAGTGGCTCTGTAAGAGAGGCAATGATCAGCTACAACAGCTAGGGCTCATGGGTGAGGGTGTGTTGGCAATCAACACACAAAGGGTTCAGACAACCACTTTATATATGGATAGATTAGGAAAAGAGCTACAAAGTGAGAGGAATGGTACCAGACCGTTGCTGACCGTTTTAACCCTGTAACGCTGTTTCATAACACTTGCCCAAATTCTTAATGCATTTCCCAAATCCTCATAGAGTCCAGTAACAATGCAGAATCAAAAAATAATCTGGTCCAGTACAAACAAAGCTGAATTAATTCAAGCTGATGGCCATGTTTCAAATGCAACCTGTGGAAAATCCTCAACTGAATCAGCTTTTAAGTAATGATGACCTTAATTGGAGAGTTTGTATTCTGCCTAATCCTGATTATCTACATCTTGTTTGTACACATAGACGCTGGTGAACACTGAGCACGCACAAGCAGAAACACTAATTAAGGCCAGCTCATACTGTATATACAGTTCAGTTTAGTACAGTAATACATTTTTAAACTAGCACCAACCCAATACTTGAGATGTGCACAATATCAAATGATGTTTTATGATACCTTACTGCGAGGAACATAACCATGTTTTGTACAAAATCTTTTTAAAGGCATCAAACCTCAGAACTGGCACATGTGTAAACCAAACACCATCAGCTGCACAGAGACTTTGCCTACAATGTCTAAAATTGGCCACATTTTGATTCTAAATATGGAACTGTTGGATCAAAGTAAACAAGAACACTAATATGATCAGGCATTTGATGGCAGCACTTTGTGTTCAGTACCAAAAAAGGACTGAGATTCAAAACCCAAGTTCAGTACCCATAGGTTTTTAAAAACGGAACTAAAACAGGTATACAACAGAAATAATAATCAAGAAACTTAAATTCAGCAAAATGACACTGAATTTACAAATGAAGAGGGGAGAAAGGCTGTAAGCTGGAGGATGTATTGAACTAAGGGATGAGCACAATGCAAAACATTAGTCAGCTCTGATGGGAACAGATAATGAGGATAGATTTTTCAGAGCTGTAGGGGAGGATGGCACCTACGGAGGAAGCTAGCAGTCCTCTGGAGAGGTCTGAGGAAGGCTGAATCACACATGAGCTGCTGAATTTGGCTGCTGGTAGGGAGGGGGACGTTTCTTCTACACTGACCACTCACTCTGCAGCACCGTTATAGTTGCCTGAGCACGGATCCAGGTAGTGGGTGGATTTTGGTGCAGGTCATTACGTCGTGGGTCATTGCTGGCTCTGCACTCATAGGTCCCAGCATCATCCAGAGCGAGACGAGAGACAGCCAACACGCTCACGGTGTTGGTGCCATAGGCCGTGCTGATGGACACTCGCCGCTTACGGGCGCCGTCCCACAGCTGCCTGAAGGAATCGGCTCGGTTGATCTCAGAGTACCACCACTGGATTTCTGGGGTGGGGTTTCCAATCACGTCACAGTACAGCTCAAAGGTGTCGCCCGTGAGCTTAGTCTCAGAGAGAGGGGATTTCACAAATCCCGCTGGTGGAGGTTTGGGGGATGGGGCACCAAGTCCAATGATCAGCCCCAAAAAAGAAAACAGGTATAGGGTGGAAAGACAAGAAAATAACTGGGTAAATTAAAAGGGAACCAGAAAAAGCCAAAGAAAAAAATAATGTGGAAAAAAAATCAAAAAGAGATTAAAAGAAAAAAAACAGAAAATACAGGTGGGCTGCAATTAATATTTAGGCCTACTTTCATCATCAGTTCATCTGTTACTTATTTTCTCAGTTAATTGCATAAATTGCCTGAAAATAGTAAATTATCACAGTTCGCCAGAGCCCAAGTTGACATAGTTTTATATTATTTTCATTATTTGTTAATCAAAAACAAAGAAAATAATACACATTTGCATTTAGTTTCTCAAAATATTTTTTTATTTATTCTCACATATGGCATATAAGAAAATATTTGAAAAGGTAAAACCAGAAAACATCGGGTATTTTTGCTTGCTGATTAATTTGCTGCTGATCAACTTATCGATTAACCAACTAACCCTTACAGCTCTAATTCAAACTGAAAAAATTGACATCATTATTGCTTAAATATATTTTTGTTTAAAGAAATGACTCAAACCGTTAATCAGTGATCAGTGTTGTTGCAGATTAATTTTCTGTCAGTCGGTTCAAGCTCTTATATACACAAAACTAAATCCTAATCAAACATCAACATCAAACTGTCAACAAGGTTCAAATCAATATTTTGTATTGAAAAGAGAGAGAGAGAGAGAGAGAGAGAGAGAAAGGACCTCAGATCTGCCTAAGCCAATATTATTACTGCTATTTCTGGGAAGCTTTAGTTCAATTCTGCTGGGATGTCCCTGCAAGGCTGCTCTCACTTGGTTTTGTTCAGTTAATGACATCATATAAATTTATGCCTGGCCGCCACAGCACTCACATCCAAAAAGTCCTCCAAGTGACATTGTCATTATTTTCAGTACGCCTTGTTGTCTGTGTAATGAAAACATCATTAGTACACAGAAAAACGTGTTTGTACGCTTATTCAATAATGTAGACGCAGACACTGGGCTGTGCTGCTAATTTTACTGGATTAAAATGTCTCCCTCAGAAGCAAATGCAATAAAAAGGAACATTTGATCGTGGCTGCTCCAAGAGGAGGAGGAGGATGGCGGGCTGTAGTCATCAGCATGGTCTGAGGACACGATGCAAACAGAGATGGAAATTTATAGAAACTGCAGCTATAGATCTCAGGGGGCATGTGGGCGCACGGCGATAGACCCCCCTCTGTTTCCATAGAAGCGCTCTACAGATACAAAGTAGGAAGAGACAGCCGAACAGCCAGATCACCACGAGACAGGCAGTTACACGCTTACATCACAGTACTACAGTTCATCAAAGCCTGTCCACGTACTGTAGGTACATACAGATGACATGACTGGGCTTGAAAACTAAAACCAACACCTCAGCTCTTAACACAGAACTGCTGAGAGACAAATCCCACCACCTCAGATAGTCTGGATGTGCCAGAGGGTCTGAGTCAGTAGCACCGCTTATGTCAAGCTGATGTGGGTTTAGTTTTGGCTTACGTGTGTCTCATGTGTGATAGAGCCAGAGATGCGAATGACAGTTATTTTCATTAACAATTCATTGGTGGATTATTTCCTCTATTAACCAATTAATCATATGGTATATAATATCAGGAATTAGCTCCACCTCCCCCGTGACCCTGTTCAGGGTAAGCAGAATAGATAATGGATGGTATAGAATATCAGAAAACAGAGGCAAACGCCTGTTTTTGTATCCTAAGGTGACATCAGCAAACAGACAACCTACACACCGACATCTCATTTTGTCTGGCCACGAGTCCAAAACCCAAAGGTGTTCAGTTCAAGACCATCAAAACTGTTGCAAGATTTTCTTTCGATCGACTAATGAATGTTTTCGACTAATCGCTGCCACTAGGAACATCTTCATTTTTATTACATGACCACTTGTGATCATCCTCATTCATTTTTAATTATTTGCATGTTCCTAATCCTTCACAGCAACCGGTGTCCATCAGTCCTGTTCTCGTGAACGTGATATCTCAGGAACACCTTGATGGGATTTCATCACATGGACTCAATGATGACATAGGTAAACTTTGATGGTCAAAGGTCAAGGTCACCGTGACCTCATGTCTATCCCATTCTTATCTCAGGAACACCTCAGGGATTTCTTTATATTAAATACACTTCATTTCTTTTATTAAACTCCTTCAAAGCCATCACTAATACTTCTATAAGTCTTTTAAATGCTAGAAAAAAAATCTTTTCATCATTGTGTCATCATTTATAGGCATGGTTACGTAGTATTTCCCTGCAGTCAGACACTTTGATGTGTTGGTGGGTATCAATCACAATCTACCTTTCAGCTACATCCTGTCAGCTGCTAATGATTAAAGGCACAGAAAAGACAAGGCGAGTTTATTTGTACAGCACATTTTCATACACAAGTGCCATTCAAAGTGCTTTACATACTGTCAACACTAAAATATTAGAATGCAGAAAAGCCGTTCATTAAGCAGTCTTTAGCTTTGTTTTAAAAACAGCAGGTAAATCTAAGTTCTAAGAGGAGCTGGTTCCATCGTGGGCAGCATAATGGCAAAAAGGTTCTATGGGCACCAGTAGCCGACCAGTCCCTGCAGATCTGAGGCACCCACCAGGTTTGTACTCAGCAAACATATCCCTCCATTTTTTAATATTACTGGTGACTGACTTGGAGTTTAAATGGATGCAAATTTCTGGTTGATGTGTTGGCCAGACAATGAATCACCCAACTGAGAACTAATCATCAAATTAATGTCTAATGGAAAGAGTCAATATTTGTAGGCCTACTTCAAATTACACAGATAGGACTTAGATTTAAGATGTGCACAGGATTAGCAATATTTTTGAAAATTTGCCGCACATTTCACTAAAAGTGTGATAAAAACCTTTATAATTTGCATTTTTCCCATTTTACTGCACTAATTAAGTTCAAATGTTGAACTGAGTGCATAATACTTTCTCATTCTTTATGAGTGAATCCGGTTAATGTTTAAATCAAAAATGAAACACCTTAACTCTAAATCTTTTCTCTACAAATGTAAGGTGAATAATTTATGTGAGGCTATTTGTCAGGATAACTACACTCTGGTTTTGTGTACTGATGTGTCTCGACAAATCTCAAATCCTCACTGCTCTTTAGTCATTACTAAAGCACAACAAAATCCTCCTCTGCAATTCATTAATTGAGACCTTCCTTCGACCTATTTGCAGTGTGAGAACCAAAAGACTGGTTGGACTGATACTATTAAACAGCCTTTTCTGGTAAAAGCCATTCTCCGTGAGATAAAGCGCACATCCTTAGGTGAACCTTAGCGGAAACAGCTTCACATACTGTATAAACCACCATTAGCAGATATAAATGATTTCTGTGATGTGTTTAGCATGACAGAAAACCATAATGCAATAATACATACTAATAATATTCCTACAGTACCATGAGCATCTGGAGCATCCAGCCTCTCTGGAAACTAAATGCCAGTATAGAATATAAGAAAAGATCATCCTTTCTGGCCACCCGTCACATCAAGTGCCTTTACATTTAATCAGCATTTGGAGCTACTTTCACTGGTGCACTAAGTGAGGAAGAGATGTTACGAGTGGGTGTGCAGTCGATTATAGGAGGAGATGTGTGATGCATTCCTACACATGGTCACCCCCAGGGAAGGCCAAAGCTGAATAAATTCACACTCATTCTCACAGTATCTGCAAAAGGATACAAACCGCACTGCACACTACACATCTGACACGGGGTGATGCTGCCCTAATCTGACGGTGGGGATGAGATTTATGAGCAAAGGGTCATTTGGACAAGTAGAACTGCACTAAGAAATCAATGCCATTCTGCAGTGCAGTACAACTCAGACTTAACTTATTCACTGTTGCAATAGGACATTAAAGCCATGGTTCCCAGTGCAGCATCTCTACTCTAAAAATAGCTGCATGCAGCAAAACTGGACTGATGCTATGTGGTCATACAGCTAATTAGGCCTACATGCATGTTATGCTGTGTCACAAAGACCTGGAGTGAGGCACAGATGATCTCACCCTGCTGAGGAGTCTGTGATACTGCTAGCTAATAAATGCGGGATTCCTGAATCATATAATTACATATCTCAGCAGAGCCAACCGTGACAGCATGAGGATCGTGTCACTGTGTGTGTGTTCTAATCAGGAAAGCACAGACCTGCCAGATTTTGAACTTCAGTGTGTCCCCATAACCACATTTTGCAGTTCACAGCCTAATGAGTAGGACTTATCCTTGCTGGCTGAACGGCTCATATTTCGACTCTGTATTCAGCTCCACACTTCAAATGACATTCTAGGGACTCCGCACAGGCCTCCGTGTGGCCCGCTTCAGCCTAACGAATACAGATTGTAATCTATAAATGATTTATTGACCCTTCATTTCAATCGCCTGCAAAGCCAAACACCTACTTCCTTCGATGATATTTGTGTCTTCTAGTGCAGTGTTAAGGGATTATCTAATGAGACTTGGCTGCAGGACAGATTCGTGCTCTTAATAACAGAAACGTGTTCATTGATTGAAATATACCCCAGTGTTTGACATTCAGGCGACATCCATCTATAAAACCGTATTTTTGCATTGATGTGGGTTTAGCTTCTTGTTTTTCCATAAGGGGAACTCATTCCCTACCGTTCTGGGAAGAGACGTACTGCAGCATCATCGCTCCAAATATCGCCACCGAGAAGGACATGAACGTAGCTCCTCGTTTGCCAGGTATCATCTTCGGAGACGGGAGAAGGAAAATGCCGGTAGGTGATAGATAAGGTGACCTGAGCGGAATATGATAATGCGGGGAGGAATCGCCGAGATCCGCACCGCCTCGCTCTCCAGTGGTGTTACGTAGAGAGGGAAGTGTCGCTAGGTTGACTAGCGGGAGCCTACAGTACTACCGGTAACTACCTGAGCAGCGCAGCTCTCTTCTGTCAGCCCGACGAAACAAGGGAACCACCTTTCTAACCACCCGTTTAATCTTAAATCCCGCGAGATCTTGGAGGAGCGCGAAGACAAGCGTGTTCACGAAGTGGACGAAAAACGTCAGTGGACAAGACGGAGGCTGTTATTTTCTCGGTTAAGTTTTTACTATAATCATTTAGGCTGCCAGCGAATTCCAACTGTGAATATTGTTTGTAGTCAGATTTTTAAGTTGTGACTGATTGAGCTATCTTAATGGTAGCCTAGTGTTGCTATGGTTACATGCTTTTTAGGATGGGGTTTAACTATGTTCAGCCAATCAGAAACGAGTATTTTTCAGGTAATGATACGCATCCAGCTGTTAACTGTATTCAGCGCTCCTACAAGGCCTCAAGCTGTGCCGTAGGTCAAGCAGTTTCTCAGGCTGACTAAGCCCTGGCTTCAGCAGCACCTGGGGCTTTAAGCACACTTTTAATCCTATTTCTTTTTGAACTAACAGGATGAATGCAACCTTACACCTACAACCACACAGTAGTCTAATTCACTAGCTTATCTAAGACACATCCACTGTCTCACCAGACTTTATCACAGCTATTCTTTGTCTAGTATAGCTGTCACATATCTAAATTGTTTTGCTAATTTCATTGTAGTTTTATAGGCTATCAAGCACTTTAAGTAAATGTAGTCAAAATATCATTAAAATAAATACAATAAAGATTAAACTACTCAGAACATCTATTTGCAAACAAACTAATGTTAGTGCCGATCCTATCCTGCATCTCAGTAATGACAAAGTCTGTATGGAATGTGTAACTGAAATATAAATGAATGTTATAAACAAAACACAATAAAGCAGGACAGTTTGTTGGACTGCTGATGACAGGCCCCCTGTATGTCATATACTATACAAAACACTGCCTGGTCCAGTGATATGATGGGCTAATCTCTGTGCAGCCTTGATAGGATCTGCATGTTTTCCTTGTAAGATGAACTGTAAAGAATTATAATTTCAGCTGTAAAAATGCTCCTTAATCTATCTTCTCTTTTTGATCTACTTTAAGTCTATAAAACTTGTGAGACTGGTCAGAGCAAAAAAGGAAAGTCCAGTTCCAAGCCTAAGGCATAAATGTTATGTCACATATTTAAAGCGTGCGTAAACAGAACTACAATAAAATGAAACTGCCTCCACTTTGCATCATAACAAGATGTGGTTAGATAATCTAGAAATTCTGAGAGTCATGCAGGAGCTGGACAGTGAGTTTGCAAAACCTGGTGATGGAACACAGTTGGAGTTCTCCTTAAAATCAAAACACAGACATTATTTGCAAGTCAAAACGTAACAAATGGGAATTTGGTGCAAGTGCTCAATGAACTGGCTACTCCAACTGACTTTTACAAAGAAACATTCCCCACAACTAGAGTTGAAGATGTACTTTTATACAGTGATTCACAAGCAAAAAGCAAGGAAGGTTATTTTTCATACTGAATTTAAAAATGTCACTGCATTACAACACTTTTCCAATAACATTAGCAACATCACACACAAAGACTTGTTGAGCTATAGATAGATAGATAGATAGATAGATAATCCTTTATTGTCATTGTAACACGTACAAGGAACTTTTAGAGTGACCTCCAGTCAGTAAGGTGCACACATGTCCAGAAATTCATTTTCCAAAAGGCCACAGAGCCATGAAATGATTCTGCTCTGGCAAAACCATGGGTTTTGGACATACATTTGCCCTGCAAATAGTACTGTCTCCTTTGAAAGCTGCCCATAAAGTAGAAAAACCATGGTGGGGTTAGGGTTCAGTTCTCACACACACAGTTCTCTATCTGCTGTCAAAATTAACTCAAAGTCTAAACAGTCTGTTGCAAAGTTTAAGATTTATTGGGGGAAAAAATCAAAAACACCTCAACAGCAACTGTTTCCAGTCCATGGAGCAGAACAACTACATAGCTTGAGACTTCCCTTTTATACTCTCTATAGCTCCTCATTGCCCATGGCTTGCTTCATTCCACCTTTCTCTCTCACCTTAGGGATACGCCATTATTACATTGGGCAATATAGGTTACTAAAAAATAAAAATATATCCCTCATGTCATAACACATAAAAAAAATAAAATCCCCATTTACATAACTTCACAACTAAGGGCTGGTGACCCCCCGCCCCCCGCCTGCTGTCAAGACCATCAGTCTTGCTCAGTCTTGGCAGCCATCCAAACAATAGACTGATAACTTTTTCCTCTCTCACCTGGTTTAAGGTTACTGGGGCCAACTTTCTCACCTCCACCTGGATCACCCTTATCAGCCTTGTATACATTAACATAGAGCAAATAAAAACTAAATAAAGCACATAGAGAAAATGTGGCCAAGTAAAGCAAACTAATTTTCAACATACTGTAGGTTACTAAATATGTTGTTCATTAATCAATAACTATCATCTTTTTTTAAAGAAAACTCAATACATTTGCATGATACTTCAGTGATTCCCAACTTTTTGACTTTTAATTAACCCCTTAAAACAAATGTATGCTTGTTTGCTACCCTTCATCACGTTACATACATTTACAAAAGATTTTTCCATGCCAGAGTCCCATAAATGTTATGTTTGACAATATTTCATAGACTTGAAGATGTACTTTTATACAGTGATTCACAAGCAAAAAGCAAGGGAGGTCATTTTTTACATTGAATTCAAAAATCTGAATTAATGGAATTTAAAAATGTCCCTGCATTACAATAGTTTTCCAATATTTTTAACATTAGCAACATCACACACAAAGACCTATTGAGCTAGCACTTTCATGTTTACCCAATTGCTTCCATCCAATGGAAACACAAGGACTTTGCCACCAGATGCACTAGATAGTTGAATCAACAGCAGACTAAAGGTGATCAGAGACAAATGAGGCATCTTCATACTGATGACCTTAACATACACAAAAACAAGTTAACAAAGGAGTACTCTGTTTTTGGTATGCTTTATGTTTACAGTACTATAACATGACAGACAGTGGTGGATATACTCCATGCTTGTTTTTTTAGTTTTGAGTTACTTGTACTTTGCTTAAGTATTTCGTGTACATTTTAAAGGAAAATATTGTACTTTCTACTCTGCTACATTATTTGTCAGCATCAGTTACTTTATAGAATAAAACTTACATAAAAACATAAAATTCTTATAAAATACAAAGTTATATTATATTAATTATAGGCACTGTTAGTGTTCCAAATGTTAAGGAAAGAGTTCCCCTAACATTAAAGTTCCAAACAGCTATCAGCCACAAATTGACTGCGTAGGTATTTTATACAAACTTAACACAACAACTAATAAAATGACTTTTTAAAGCATAAACTGATTGCAATGACTGTTCCAAACATTATCTTATGTTAAACTTTGCACCTTCACTCAAATACCAATATCATTTTATCACCCTATTATGACATAACATGTATTTCATGGTTGTTTCTACTTTACATGCAAAGTATTGAGTCATTTTAACACTTACCCAAATCTGCTGTTACAAGAAAGGCGATTACTTCAACCACGGTTGAAGTTGAAGTTAGATGGTACACTTGTGTACAGTTGGAAAAACAAGGGGTGAATGCACCTCCTAGTCCAACATGCCTGGCTGACAGTCAAGGTTAATGAAAAACAGCTCTGTTGTAAATTTAAAAAAAAAAAGAAAAAAGATAAAGAACATAAGAAATGTGTGCACTGCTGTAGATAGCTGTAGATAAGGGCCCAGTTGTAAAATGTATGTAGTGCACATAATAAAGTTCTACTGAACAAAAGTTTATATAGTTAACAGGATCCACCATAATACATCCGTGGGGACCACGTTTATCAGTTGTGCCATCTAGTGTCAAGTCAGCGCATAACACTGGCTCATGAGTGTTTACCTGAACAGAGTGCCATTCTGATATTGCATATATTGTGTAACTTATTTAGTTTTTATTATTTATATTTTGTTATCATGTTTCTTTATTCATACTTCATAGACTTATATTTCCATTCCTTTTTCTTGTCCTCAAATTAATATGGAGAACATAAATGTACATGCATCGTAGGAGGCTAACACAACTGCTATTTCATTGTACTATGTACACTGACAATAAAGTTCTTGATTCTTAAATCTTGAATCTTTACCTGTTTTTCAAAACTGCTGCACACATGTCCAGAAATTCATTTTCCAAAAGGCCACAGAGCCATGAAATGATTCTGCTCTGGCAAAACCATGGGTTTTGGACATACATTTGCCCTGCAAATAGTACTGTCTCCTTTGAAAGCTGCCCATAAAGTAGAAAAACCATGGTGGGGTTAGGGTTCAGTTCTCACACACACAGTTCTCTATCTGCTGTCAAAATTAACTCAAAGTCTAAACAGTCTGTTGCAAAGTTTAAGATTTATTGGGGGAAAAAATCAAAAACACCTCAACAGCAACTGTTTCCAGTCCATGGAGCAGAACAACTACATAGCTTGAGACTTCCCTTTTATACTCTCTATAGCTCCTCATTGCCCATGGCTTGCTTCATTCCACCTTTCTCTCTCACCTTAGGGATACGCCATTATTACATTGGGCAATATAGGTTACTAAAAAATAAAAATATATCCCTCATGTCATAACACATAAAAAAAATAAAATCCCCATTTACATAACTTCACAACTAAGGGCTGGTGACCCCCCGCCCCCCGCCTGCTGTCAAGACCATCAGTCTTGAATTGACTGCGTAGGTATTTTATACAAATTTAACACACTCAGTCTTGGCAGCCATCCAAACAATAGACTGATAACTTTTTCCTCTCTCACCTGGTTTAAGGTTACTGGGGCCAACTTTCTCACCTCCACCTGGATCACCCTTATCAGCCTTGTATACATTAACATAGAGCAAATAAAAACTAAATAAAGCACATAGAGAAAATGTGGCCAAGTAAAGCAAACTAATTTTCAACATACTGTAGGTTACTAAATATGTTGTTCATTAATCAATAACTATCATCTTTTTTTAAAGAAAACTCAATACATTTGCATGATACTTCAGTGATTCCCAACTTTTTGACTTTTAATTAACCCCTTAAAACAAATGTATGCTTGTTTGCTACCCTTCATCACGTTACATACATTTACAAAAGATTTTTCCATGCCAGAGTCCCATAAATGTTATGTTTGACAATATTTCATAGACTTGAAGATGTACTTTTATACAGTGATTCACAAGCAAAAAGCAAGGGAGGTCATTTTTTACATTGAATTCAAAAATCTGAATTAATGGAATTTAAAAATGTCCCTGCATTACAATAGTTTTCCAATATTTTTAACATTAGCAACATCACACACAAAGACCTATTGAGCTATTTGGTAAGGTTTGGATTTTACACACAAGTCAAGTCATTCACATTTAACCTTTTTCCCAACAAAAATAAATCTCCACAGTAATCTTACAATTGAAATGCAGACAAATGTTACAAGCAAAGCAACTGCCAACAAAGCAGCCATGACATCAATAGATTTGTAAACAAACCAGGACATCTTGTTGGAGTGGGACTGCAGATGACGGGCTCCTTTATGTCTTATGACATATTCAATCCAAAACACTGCCTGGTCCAGTGGTTTCATAGGCTGATCTCTGTGCAGCCTTGATAGCATCTGCATGTTTTCCTTGTAAGACGTATTATAAAGAACAGCCACCAATGCCTCCGCAAAGATGTGTCTATCAAGCATAGCAATATCCACAATTACAGCTCCTCCCTTCGCTCTGATTCTGGACAAGTTATCAGGCTGATCAAAGAATAAGGGAAGTCCAACAACAGGAACACCATGGTAAATTGCTTCCTGAACGCCATTGGTGCCTCCGTGGGTCACAAACGCTCTAGTTTTGGGATGCCCTAAGAGGTCGTTCTGTGGCAACCAGTTGACCAGTAAAGTGTTGTTGCCCAGGTTGGCTGGCCTTTGTCCGATGTGCCTCCATACAACCTTCTGAGGCAGCTGAGCAAAGGCTGCAGCAATCTCTTCAGTGACATCTTGAGGAAGGCTCCTGACTAAAGTTCCTAAGGTCATTACAATGACCCCATGATCTCCAGAACTCTGTACAAAGTCCTCTACGTCTGCAGGCAGCGGTTTTGCGGGTTTGCACTGAAATCCACCCATGTAGACTATATTTGGCATTGTTGGACGTGGGAATTCAAAGACAAAATCAGTCCTCATAAGCCATATATCAGCATCCAGGACAAATGTTGAATAATCCACATCAGGGCCAAAGTACTTCCTCACTACTGGTTTGTAATGAGGTTCTGAGAGGGATGATTGTATATACATCCCCAGACTATAACTCAAAACATTCTTTACTCTTTGAGGGAAGGTCATCTTATCTGTCAGCTCTGTAGCAGTGAAAGGAATATATGACAGAGGTGAGGGGGCAATAAGCAAGTGAGCTTCACCTTGAGTGGTCCACCTGACATTGAAGACAAGAGGAACTTGAAGTCGATGTGCCAGGATTGTCCCTCCGCCAATGCTGGGGTCAGTCAAGACTAGATCATATTTTGCATCATGGAGGGAATGCATAAGGTTTTTATCTTCAAACATATGGATGATTACTTCACTCATTCTCTTATGGAGCTGAATGCCCCTCCTAGTCCAACAGGCCTGGCTGACAGTCAAGGTTAATGAAAAACAGCTCTGTTGTAAATTTAAAAAAAAAAAAAAGAAAAAAAGGTGTGTCCTGCTGTAGATAAGGGACTGTATTTATCTGTTGTGCTATTTGTTTGAGTAGTTGCATTTTTATTTCATATTTCATACTTCAACTTCACTACATTTTAGAGGCAAATATTGTAGTTTTACTCCAATAAAATTATTCAATTCAGAATCAGATCAACAATATACAGTATAATCACAGATCCCAGATTTTATTGATCCCTGGTGGGAAATTCGCAAACTACCTAGCAGTAATTCAAATAGGTAGTTAGCTTCACCTAATGTGTCAATAATTATAATCCTATAATATGATATAATTCTTATGAAATGTTCCATTCTACATAATGAGTATTTTTGCTTTTGGTAACCTTCATTAAGTATATTTTGATACCAATACTTGTACTTTTACTTAAGCAACATTTTGAATGTATGATTTTTACATGTAACAAAGCCATTTTACATTATGGTATTCAGAGGTGGAAAGAAACTAAGTAAATGTACTCAAGTACTGTACTTAACAATGTCGAGGTATCTGTAGCTTGAGTATTTTCATTTTCTGCTACTTCATACTTTGACTTCAGTACATTTTACAGAAAAATATTCAACAATTTACTCACTACATTTATATAACTTTAGTTATTAGTTATTTTTCAGACTGTGATTAATTAAACAAATTACACTGTAATCATTAGACTTTATTGATCACTGGTGGGAAATTCACAAGCTACCTAGCAGTGCCTAAAGTATTTCAAAGTATAAGCATAAAGTAGTTAACAAGCTGTAACATTAACTGTGATTTACACAATTATACACAAATATGACATACAGTACATTAATGTGAACTATGCCATTCTGTGTAATGAGTACTTTTATAATTTAAGTATATTTTATGCAAATACTTTTGTACTTTTAACAATTTGAATACAGGACTTTTACTTGTAACAAAGTATTTTTACACTGTGGTATTGCTGCTTTTACTTAAGAAGTAAAGACATTTGATTTCTTACACCACTGTAAACTGGTGACCCATGCTTTATTTTTACTTTCTCATTACTAAGGCTATTTATTATAGCTTATCCATACTATTCATATGTCATCCTATAAAAAAAACTGAGCAGTATTACTAGATCAGTGTCATGTCATGCAATAGTAACTAAATAATACAAAAAATAAAGAAAGAAAATAAAAATAAACTGAAGTTGTATAGTGTCATAACTGTCAGATGCTACTGACAGTGTGCACCCTCCACCTCTCACTCAGCCTTTGTTGCTGTTCTCACGCTAACATGCGAGATCCGTAGACCAGATTCAGCTACGCGGTCTCAATCCGTCCCGACTTCCCCTCTGCCAGCGGCCTGGTGGTTGTTTGAGATGAGTAGAAGATGTCGGTGTCGGGGCTGAAGGCCGAACTGAAGTTTTTGGAGTCAATTTTTGACCCAAACCACGAACGATTCAGGATAATAGACTGGAAACCCGATGAACTCAGTTGTCAATTTAACGTAACAGGAGAGAAGCTGCTGATCATTCACTGCAACATCACGGTGAGTCCAGGCCAGCTCTGCGCACAAGCTAACTCAGCCACTGACTATCGACTGAAACCAAATCATTCCGCAGCAGGTTCCGTGTTTACAAATTAACTACGAATAAAGTGTTCGCTTATATTTTCGATTAGCGTTTAAGCGTCAGTATTAAAGTAAGCCAGTTGATTGAAGGAAATATTATAACCCCGGCTTTAAATTTACTTTAAAAAGTATAAATTAAAACGCCGATTAGTAACGACGTTGCGGTAGCACTTGCTAGCCTGTTAAACGAAAGTAATGTTAACGCTAGCTTGTCATGTTAGCCAAAATAGCCGTCACTGTTTGCAGTACTACAGCTGATAACTTTGTAATCACAGAAACCTGTCCAGTTTAAGTCTGGTGTTATTTAATGCTAGCTTAGGCATTTGAGAACTTTCACAGCTTGGCTGTTGGTTTTTAAAAGTATATTACAAAGAACTGGTTCGTTTGATCAAACACCGCTGAATGTTCCATTCACTTGTTTTACGTTAAGTAACGTCGTAGGCGGTTTAATGGAATGTTGTTTTCTGCCGTTTCAGTAAATAGACCGATCCCTCTGGCGAACTTATTGGCTCTTATTAGCACCGACATTAATAGTTTCTATTTGTCCACCAGAACATGTTAGATATTTATAATGTATATGAACGAGTCTGCACTCTACTTGGCTTAATGTTATTGTTTTTCAACCATGTAATGTGAGGACAGCCACGGGCCTGAGAATTTTATGTAACATCAGCTACATGAATCAGTTCATAAATAATATTAGTGACCTAAATAATCTTTAGGCATGTATAAAACGCAAAGTATAGGTGATGTCACTAACACTGAGGCTCGGAGTTAATTCACTGGCCTTCCTAAGATCCTAACCACATCCTCTCTAAGCAGAAGCGTACACACTTGTGCTCATTTCGTGTGCTCATACAGGCTTAAACTGTTTTGATAGTCATGTCATGTTGAGAGTCAGACTCAGTCCTTTGCATCTTCAGAGACACCAGAGTACATTGATTATCACAGTTTTCCCACTAGAAAATGATAAGTGCACAAGTAAAAGGTTCTGCCACCACTTAGTCATGTCTCTGGGTAGCTCAAGCCCGGCAGTGTGTGTGTGTGTGTGTGTGTGTGTGTGTGTTTTATTTGACTTTATGATTGTTAGTGCTGGATTCCAAAAAGGCATAGAGTAGGACTGCAGCTAACATTTATTTTCAGTTTTAGTTAATCTGCCTTTATTTTCTTAGTATAGTGCTTTTCTATGCATTGCAGCACACTCAAAGCGCCTCACACTATTTGGCCATTCACCAATTTGCACTCCCAAGCACTCACACATTGACATCACCGGGAGCAACTGGGGGCTCAGTGTCTTGCTCAAGGACAATTCAACATGTGGACTGAACAAGCTGGGAATTGAACCGCTAATCTTCAGGTTAGGAGGCGACCTGTGCTATCTCCTGAGCCACAGCCGCCCCGACTTGCAAAAAGTGTCACTTCAACATCTGAGTTGCGGTGATGATTAAGAAAATTCAATTTAGGGACTAAGACTCTGGAATAACCTTTAACATATTATGTAAATGAGATTTCTCTTGGCAACATTTGGTTTCATAAAAATAGTAATGTTCTCTGTTAAGTGGTAATATACAATCCACAGACAGTAAAGCTATCAACGCAGAAGTATGACTGGCTTAATTTCCATGTCCTGGTGTTGCTGCTGTTGCAGGAATCCTATCCCTCAATCCCCCCAATATGGTTTGTTGACTCTGATGATCCTAGTCTGGCTGAAGTGTTGAAGCGTTTAGAAGATGTGAGAAAATGCAGCACACTGGTAAGCAGACTCACGTGAGGCTTGCACAAATTGGTCATTTCATGTACTCTTAGTGTTTTTTGTTATTTTATACACTTGTACACTTGAACTGCTTGGACATCATCTATCTTAACAGGTGTGGGAATAGAAAATTAGGTTTTCATATTTGACATTTTATTTGACTGATTCCACCTGCAGCTTCTTCAGCAGTTGAAGCGTCTTATTTGTGATCTCTGTCGGCTATATAACCTGCCACAACATCCAGATGTAGAAATGCTCGACCAGCCTCTACCTGCTCCCCCGATAATCCAGGAGCGGAAGGTAGGCACTAAAAATAAGAAGATTCAGTGTCTCAGTGTTACATTTTAAAACTGTCAGCTCACTTTGTTTGCACCCTACTACAGCATGGGCCACCAGATGAGGTGACATCTGAAGAAGAAGAAGAGGAAGAAATGGGAGAGGTAGCTACATGTGTTGCTGACAGTTCAGTGAATTGTATTATGTACATTTTAATTAACCAGTTTGTTTTACATCCTGTTTCTAACCATAATTAACACACTGTGGCAGCAGGACATTGACCTGGACCAAGACCTGGACCATTACGACATGAAAGAAGAGGAGCCAGTAGATGGGAAAAAGTCAGAGGATGACGGGATAGAAAAAGAAAATCTGGCTATCTTAGAGAAGATTCGTAAAAACCAGAGACAAGATCACTTAAATGTAAGTGCTGGTGGTGTTGTTTATTGAGTTTGGTTGACTGTCATAGAGTGGATCTGAAGGTTAATTTTTGGCAACAAAAACATGGAATTCTCCTAGAGAAGATGCAGATTAAATAGCATTGTACTGAATCTGAATTGTGGGGTGTAAAGTAACATAGCATGTCATGTGTTAAATGCTCAAATGTAACATTGTCATCAATTAACACTGACAGAAATTAATAAGACTTTAACCTCTGACTGTCTGGTTGCCCTGATCTAGGCCCATCCATTTAATACTTAAAACTCTATAACACACAACATGTGAATCATCTTTGTGATTTCTGTTGCAGGGTGCAGTCTCAGGCTCAGTTCAAGCCTCAGACCGCCTAATGAAGGAACTCAGGGAGATCTACAGATCACAGAGTTACAAGACAGGTGACTGCAGGGACACATTTGTCCTGAGTGGTGACTTTTATTGTTTTAACATATCAGTAAGTTCTCAGTTGGTCTTGTTCTTTTTATTTTACAGGTATTTATTCAGTCGAACTAGTCAATGACAGCCTTTATGAATGGCATGTCAAAATAAGGACGTAAGTTCTCACATTCAGTTGCTTTTAATAATTTCCAGCTTTCCAAATGCTTTGTATTCTTCTAGATTTGACTTGTTGCTCTTTCCACCAGGGTAGACCCAGATAGTCCATTGCACAGTGACTTGCAGGTCTTAAAAGAAAAGGAAGGAGTGGACTACATTCTGCTCAATTTCTCTTATAAAGTGAGTCTTGTGATAATATTTGTCAGTTTTTTTTTTTTTTGTTTTTTTTTTGTTTTTTTTTTTTGAAAAAACGTTTTCTCAAGACTCATGGCCTTTTTTCCCCTTCATACAACAGGATAATTTCCCTTTTGACCCACCTTTTGTACGGGTTGTATCACCTGTGCTCTCCGGAGGGTGAGTGTGTAGCAGTATCTGTTCTGCCCAGTTTGTGCATGAAATGATCTGAAGAACATATTTGTTCACTGGGACACATTTGTTGTGCACACATTTTTAAGTGGATTTTGAACTTGGCTGCAAGCGATTCACAAAAATAATTAATTAGTTTGATTATGGATATAAATTGAAATAATACTAATGTGACTTACTAAGTTGTTTTGCTTTAGTCAATTGTTAAATGTTTAACATGTGCTGTGCTTGCAGATGTGTTGATATTGTGCTTTGCATATTTAGAAAGCAGCTGTCAGATGCTCTGCAGGGTGAACTTTATGTTTTGCTGTGCTATGTCCTGCATTGTGTGGGCTATGTGGTTTGCTTATGATTGCCTGTAAATTACTCTTCTGACACCTCTGACTCTTAAAAGTAAATAAAAGCATCACACTTAACACCAGTGCGATTAGGCTTTCAAGGGTATAGAAACAAAATTAACAATTAATTCAACGCTTTAACCTTTTCATACAATCTTCTCATGCATCTCAAATCATTGCCTCTTTAAAGGGTTGTGATGATTAAAAATAGGCATAAACAAATTCAATCAAATACTTTTCTTGTCAAATGTACATACCTAGTTGTTTAAACGTTTAATATGGATAATACTGCATGTTATTTGTTTTATTTCAGTTATGTTCTAGGAGGAGGGGCCTTGTGCATGGAACTTCTCACCAAACAGGTGTGTACATAGGTTTGATACATCTTAAAACACAGTTATTCTCAACTCAAACGACGGAGGAACTGGATTCATGGGTTTTATATGTGTTTTTCAGGGCTGGAGCAGTGCCTATTCCATAGAATCTGTCATTATGCAGATAAATGCAACTCTGGTGAAAGGAAAAGCCAGGGTGCAGTTTGGAGCCAATAAGGTAACTGATGTGTATGCTTGAAATGAACTACAGACAAATTAAAGGAGAACCATCATAAAATGTCTTAGTAAGGTGTTGGGCCACCAGAACAGCCTCAGTGCTACTTGGCTTTGACTCTACAAGTCTTTTCTCAAACACAGAGATCATTCAGGAGTGGAACAGATCAGGGATCAGATAAATGCTACAATAGCTTGTTTAAATGTTTGTTTCCTGTCACTTTATATGTTACAAGTAGAACAGTGCCAGTTCCGGTGCATTTTCTGAGTGATGCATGGCTTCAGTAAACAGAACCTGCAGAGGTTATGGTCACAAAGTGGTTAATGACAGTTACACTTTTTGTTTTCAGAACCAGTACAATCTTGCCAGAGCACAACAGTCATACAAATCCCTTGTGCAGATTCATGAAAAGAACGGTAAGTAAATATTTCTAAATGACAGTTTCTCAGTAGACACTGTGGTATGCGTCCCTTGCCAAAGGGGTTTCTCTTTCTGCTGTTACAGGCTGGTACACACCACCTAAAGAGGACGGATAAGGAGTTTCTACCACTATGCACTGGGAACATGTCTATGACTTAAAGGTATCTTTTGTTCTTCGGAATATTTTCCCCCTCTGACTTACTGGGAATATATCATCTTTCTTGCGGAAACCATCATGTTGGGCTCATCTGACAAGTATTCCTTCATCTCGCTCCAGGAAAGGGACTTTGTTCTGGTATCACTTTGATTCTCCACTAAATGTTTAGTGAGAAGGAGGATGTGAGGGTATTGTTAGTCCTGTTTTCTAAAAATGCTCATTTGTCATTAAAAAAAACTTTCTCCTTTTAAATGTGGGGAAATGCTTTTTCTTCAGCTGCTTTGACAAGATGGGCTTCACAGATAGTCAGCTACAGCTCTTTTAAAAGAAGTCCAATATTGAAGCTCTTGAAGTGGCACCTGTTTTTATTGACAGCATTTTTTTCTGTTTTCTCTTGGAAATTAACCGGTACATAAATACAGATATTGTATGAGAAATATTATTTGGGAATTGTTTTTATCATTCGGGCATCCAAAGGCAATAAAGGAGCCAGTTTATATATTTTGGAAGCGTATCTTTAAATTGAGATGACCTGCCATTCTGTATCTTAGTTCATCTAAGTTCAGCCAGTATCTTTGAACAAGTCCACCAGTGGCTAATATTAAGACAGAGCCAATAGATATGAAGTGTCCCAATATCTGCATATTATATTTGATGGAAAGAAGATATGTGGATATGTTTTCACCAGAAGATACGAGGAGCCTTGCAGCATCGTTTTGGACGTCGTAACGGGCATGTTTGAGCTGAGGAGCTCTTTATGCCTTACATTGCGGCACTGCAGCTGCTCAGTTTGGCTTTTTCACTTTCCACTGATCTGTCGCTGTAGAGGTCGATGGCTAGTTTGTTCCTGAAAATAAAGCCCTGTGCGTGTGGAGCTAACAGTATGTTGTACAGGAGCCTTCTCTCTACCACTGTTGTAAAAGATACTTGGATTTGATTTCAGTCATTTTCTTTAGGAAATAAATGAAGGATTTTTCATTATTCTGCCCAATTTTGCAGTAAAGTTTTCATATGTTCCTGACCTATTGATTCTAGTGTTTTGTCCGGGTTTAGATTTGAAACTCTTCCCTGTTACATGGTGTTACTTGCAGCTGGATTCATCCCCTTTCTGCTGACTCTCAGCCAGCAGCTATATGCCCATCGTCAGCAGGGCTTCCTTTACCACCACGATGTACCATGGCTGTTTTGGTGACTTTTGTTCTGTAACAACAGGGATTGTTTATAGCGTGATAAGAACTGAACCTGAAAATATGAATACCTGTTTGAAACTGCTATACCTGTTTAGCTTTGACCTTGCAAGACACTGTAGTACACTATCAGTACTGGTGTTGCCTACACTACAGGACACACTGTATCAATCTATTGGCTCTTTTGCAGTTTATTTGTTAACACTGTCTGCAAAAGTACATTTCAATGGCAACTCAGGTAACAAACAATACTTAGGAGGGGAATCTGTACATGTAGAGGTTTTTTTTTTAACGCTGTACCGCTTAGGCTTATTTACCACTGATGTGATGTCAAAAATAGAAAATGTCATGAGCTTTACAACAACATGGGTCATATGTTTGTTTTAATTTAAACAGTGTAAGAGGAAGGACATTTATGGAAAGGTTGCAGTACCATGTATTGGTCTGTTAATACCCTACCCACCTTTTATTTTTTTTATTTTATTTTTATTTTTTACCTCAAATACTGAAATATATTTGATTTCAGTATGTGATCTTTGTGATGTTTGCACAGCTGGCAATAATGTGCTTGGAGAAGTTAACCATAACAATGAACACATTGAGTTAAATATTTTCAAATCAGGAAAAAGCCCAATCCCATGTCTAATATACCTGAGGATGGAGGAATTATCAGGTATCATCAATAAGAAGTGCCCTCACCTCTAAAGGGCCTGTGTTGCATGGCTGCACAGGAAATTTGCACCATAAACTGTTTGAAAGTATAAGTACAACTTCACCACAGAGCCTTTATCCACCTGCCTCTCTCCAAAATGCCAGAACTCTGGTCAGAGGGGACATGAACAAAAGATTCAAGTTTGACAGTCAAGCGGTGGTCAGTAGACTCACATGCTTTTCTTACTGGACACTGTTGAAATTTTTCATTTATTTTGATGTCGATTCAGTTTCTGGCACCAACAAACAGTTGGTAGAGTCTGGCACCAGTTGGCTCTCTTGATTTTCTTTTCTTTTTTCCATTTGAAGACATACAGTAATTTGTAAACTTGCATCAAGTTTATGAATAAAGAATTTTAAGATTACTGATGTTTTATGGGTTTCAGATTGATCTTTTATTAAAAAACAATGAAAATGAACAGGAATAGGAAACAGTTCCATAAATATTCTAACTAAATAATGTGTCTAATGATTTTAATGTTGCAGAACCCCAGTGAAAATTACGGCAAGTGGTTAAGTCTTCTGTGTTGTGTGTTTGGTAAGAAAACTGCCAAATAGGCACTAGTGCAACTATTCATGCCAATAATTACAAATACAAGTGTAAAAACATATTTAATGTTGCTATCCAGCTTGATAACCAGTAGCCATGTTTACATTTTCTTTCATATCTTAATGTTTTTTAATAATTCTTTCTGTCAGCAGGTGGCATCAGTCAGTGGATGAGTTATTCAGATCCTTAGAACCAGTACTACAACTATGTGCACATTTTTCATTACAGGTTAAAGGTTCTGCATTCAGTCTGTTCCCATTCCTCCTGGCAGAAGTGTTATCAGCAAAATGTACTTAATGTAACAAAATGAAAAGCACCTGTTATGATCAATTCCCTGTTTCCTTGTAATACAGTGTATATTATATGATTATTATTAAAGTGTAGCCCGGGTAAACTGTTTGACACACAGTACAGAGTTTCTGGGGTTCTTGCAACTTTGATGTCTGGCAGAGCACACACACACACACACTAATAACAACGTCGGTAAACAGAAGGCATATGCCCCTTTTCCCTCGAGTGTAGATAGTTAAATAAGAGGAAATGAACAAACTAACAACAACAAAAAATAAACTAAACTGGCCCGTCCAGGACAAAATAACAGCAAAATACAGCGATGGGCTCTGGCTAAACACAAACGAAATAAAGCAAATTGTAAATACCAAATAACCATCAAATATCTGTGAAATGCTATATTCACATACTTAAAGAAAACTTGCATTACTCCAAAAGTTCACCAACTCCATGTCGGACACACCGGAGAGCACAGTTAGCACGCTGTTGCTTTGCTGGCATCTGAGGATCTGAGGGTCTGCGCCACAGGACCACAATCTCCAAGCCGTCAGCACCATGGGCTTCTACAATACACCACATTGCCAACATGCTGGTAAATAACTCATTTAAAGTATTTATACAGACAGAATCCAACTAGGTTTGAGCATATTTACTTATAGATTTACACCATGTGGTCAGAAATCACTGCGGTCCACTCTTCAGTGACGTTTTGGCGGAATGAACACATCTTATTCAGCCCTGCCATCTAGTGACCAAAGTTTCTAAGGTAATATTGAACATCAGCAGACCACTTTAGGTCAATTTGACATTACATCAACAGAATGAAACTGCATTACATTCACAGGAAGACAATCAACAGCAATTTTTGCAAACGTATTTAAAAAGATCAGTAAATGAAATTTTGTTTACAAAGGTATTCAAGTACTTTGTAGAAGCCAATTTAGCAGCAAACACAGCCTGGAATCTTCTTGGGTAGGTCTCTACTAGCTTTGGCCCAAAATCTTAAAGCAGCTATGACATGCCTTTTACTCAAAGTGTCTTCCATCTACTATAAAGGCCTGATTGATGGAGTGCTGATGAAATGATCCACCTTGCAGCAAGAGAGTCCTGATTGTTCCAGATGTCTTCTGTTTTACAGTTATTGAGGCCACTGTGCTCCTTGGAACATTCAGAGGTTTAGAAATAGTTTTATTTTGTTGTCCTGATCTGTGCCTGGCTACAAAGGACTTCATGGCTTGGTTTTTGTCCTTACATGCAGTGTGAATTATGGAGTATTGTATGCACAGGTGTGTGTTTTTCAAAACAATGCTCATTTCACTATGCTACGGGTGGGCTCCAATCAAAGTATAGACACGGCTCAAGATGCACCTGGCCACAACTTGGAGAGCTACAGCAAAGGGTCTGAAAACTTTTGATAATGACATTTCAGTTTTTGATTTTTAATAAGCTTGCAAAATAAAAAAAAAATAAAAAAAATCTAAAAACAGGTTTTCACTTTTCACACTGGCAATTCTATGCATCTGAATTTAATTCTACAACACAGTAAACTGGTCAAAAAATGAAGGGGTCTCAATACATTCCAAAACCAGAAGTCATAAGAGTAGTCACTGAAGAAATCAAACACATTTTTGAGCTGAATTTGATTTTCAGTCAGTTTCAGATGAAGCTTAGACCCTTTTTGTTGGTGTATATGTTAGGCTATGTGTTGCTGTCCATTTAAACTCTCCAAAATGCCAACATTTCATAAAATATGAAAACAATATTGTTTAAAACTTTGTGAAAATATATTTTTTAAATTATTTAAATTATTTTTTAACTTTTGTGCCTATTTAATTTAATCCATTAACTCAAATATCATTTTTCAGCTTTTCTAAAAACGTACAAATCACCTAATATGGAGATTTGTGGCTCCTCTACACCTACAGCCCCCGTAAGAGAAATTGTGGCTGCTATGAGTAGAGGACCTGCGTACAAACTCATTAAATAACCAACACTGCAACAAGAACTCTTTAATAACTATTAGAATAAGACCAAATAATACAAAAGTAATACACAAAAAATATCCTCATAAACGTCACTCATGGAGACACAACCTCCTCGATCGCTTCATCCACCACATTAGAGCATGTTCCTTTTGAGTGTTTATCAATGGCGAATAATTATCTCACCTCAAGTAATAATATATTTATATCTACTTATGATATAGTACATGATAATACATGTCAAACAGCAAACAGTACATGTGGGAAGTTAATGGGGTTTGAGAATCTTTGATAAAGCAACATGATGCAAAGTATTATTTTTCCAGTGTACTAAAGGTTCTGTTACACAATAACTATACAGCTGTAATTTCCATAACCACATTAAATGTGCTGTATGTACATACGGCAGAAGGTTTGGACTGATGCGGAACTGACCGTGATAACTGACTACACACAGAGGAAAGGTGCTTCACCTTGTGCATAACTTTACACAGAATTTATCGATCCGATCAGTTAAACTTTGTGCATTTACTGATGGATGATGAGCATGTGGATGGGACAGAGTTATATTTAATGATTACTATATGTGCATTTGCTGGTGAAAATGTTATGCAATCATAAAATTATACTAGTTGTGTCCAACTTGAAAGCAAGCCCAACTCCTAACATATGATGTTATCTTAATCTTTCCACACAACAGGGCCCCACTTGATCCTAATGATTACACTGTTTAATATATAGATGTAGTATTGCTCCACTGTGATTCATTGTGAATTTAGTTTGCACTGATGTCAACAACCATGCAAACATTACTTAAAAATTTCCAAACAATTATGATGAAAAACATATTTAAATCTGTAAACCATAGTCATGGAAAGACACAACGAAAATGTGCTTCACACTCAATCACACATCATCCACAATACGCAGAAATGACAGGTTGGTACAAAAAAACTAAACAAACTAAAAAGTAAAGCAAACAGCCTACTGAACACCACATCATCACAGTCAGACAAGACAACTCACAGGTTCTGAAATAATGAGCATTCAGACACATATCTTCACATCTGTTTCAAGTCTAATACTGTATTACTGTAAATATCCATCTACTGAATCTTTGTTTTCAGGTGACACAAGGCCAAAACCTTTTCACTGAACACATCAGGCCTCATGATGGCTACACACAAATATTGTCTTTCAGTTTCACTTCATAAAGAAATTATTAACTTCAATTTTATATTGTTTTATCTTATATAAATATCATATTACACCTAATCATGGGATAACACCAACAGCCACGAAACGACACACTAAGGCCTGAAATCCAAAGCTCCAGAAACAAGTAGTCATTTAAGAATTTACATGTAAGGGTTACTGGGAGAATTTACCAAAGGGGGGAAACATCCATCACTTCATACCATGCTGTGACTACCTACAACAATGATGATTGATATTTACTACATGTCCAACCTACAAGCGATTTGGTTTGATTTCACTTTTAACCTGTACAATTTGGAATGTTCTATCCAATGAACTGCTGCATGTGCTTCACCTTAACTGGTATTAATAATTAGTGGTGATAAAAGAAGACCAAAAAAAACCCAAATGATCCTTTAGAAATTTAAAAACAGCTGTAACATCTTTCTGAGAATGTAAAAAATACAAATACTGAATCAAACTGAAAGGTTCATTGATGCAGAGCAACTTCACACTAGTAAAAAAAAAACAAAAACTAACAAAAAACAGTCAATGAAACATGAACTCTAAAATATTTTCTCTGGGGTTTAAAAGTTTGAAACTTCCTGAAATTCAGCTTATGTAACAAATTATTTGATACTTTTCGTTTTTCCTTTTTTATAGTTTGAAATTCTGATTCTAATGTAGAAATTTTGGCCTTGTTCAACTATTTCTTTTTCAAAACCAAATTTACATACAGAGTAAGAAAGAGATGGCGACTTCCCCATATTAAAAAAGTGATTTGCTCCCAATCTAACACCTCAAGGTTTAATTGTAACCTAAACCTGAAGGTTTGATTAGAGCATAGTTTGCTGTTATTCACTCACTCTTGCTGAGAATTAGATGAGAGCTTAAATACTACTTTCATGTTTGTACAGTAAATATGACGCGGCTTCAGCAGGCTATTAGCTCAGCTCAGCACAAAGACTAGAAACAGACAAAAGCAGCTGGACCGGTTCTGCCGACTGTAACAAAATCTGCCTAACAGAACCTCTGAAACCTACTAATTAACATCCTATATCTTGTTACCTATGGAGAGAGCTACTGTGCGTTAGCTTGTTTCTGCGCCAAGCTAACCAGATGCTAGTGGTTCGTATTTATCATACAGATATGAGAGTGGTATCAATCATCAACTCTTGGCAAGAAAGCGAATAAGCATTTTTCCAACATGTTAAACCTTTTCTGGGAAATGGTTATTTAATGTTTTCTTGACATGTGTCAATTGAGGAGAAAATTGTGTACTGTTTGGTGACCTGGTGAAGGCTAAAGGAAAGTAAACACAACTAAGGCATTACAGTACCTTAAATAACACAATAAAGGTCACAGGTAAAGGCAGAGAAGTCACTCTGTGCTGGACACAGGAACTGATGAAGCTCAGCAGACTGGTTTTAGCTATATTCTGTCTTTGTTGGAAAGCAACACACAAATCGACAAGCTAAAATTGAGCAGTATAAGAGATTAACAAACCAACAGTGGGTTTTAATAACTGCCTGTTGATTTAAATGTGAACTGAAATAAATTCCCATGTGTGTGAAAATTCAATAAAAGTATATTTCCACCAAAAACAGGGCATGTATCTACATTGTTCGGTTTGAATTCAGCTTGTACAGTGTTATAATGAAGGGCACCTAATTTTAAATTGTGTTCTTAATTGATCCCTTTTGTCTCTCCCACTCGGCAGCCCAACCCCCTCCTCTGTCCTACATTGGATCGTCGTAGTTGTAGGTGGGAGCTGCTGAGTACTGGTTCTGTTGCATGGCTCCCTGAGTGGCTCCCATGGCCGCCTGCTGAGCTGCATTCTGGACGTGGGGGTTCTTCCAGGCTCCGGTGGTCCATTCCTCCTGGGCCTTACCCAGACTACCACCACTGCCACGGTAAAAGTTATGAACCTGCCAAAAAAAGTGTGAGATAAGTACTGTAACCGAGGAATTTGAACACCTTTACAGCATTTCATGAAGAAATTGTTCTACAGTCTTAACCTTCAGCAGTGATAGCATCCCCTACATCACAGTTGTTCAAGGGGTGTAAAGTTTTAGTGAATGTAGGCCTATTGTAATTTGTTTATGGCAATGTTAGTGTGGTACTAAAAGTATCACTTCACTTCTAGTGGCCATAAATGCAGTTCACCAGCCAGGTGACCAATGTTAGCCATTCCACTTTCCAAGTGGAATACAAACTTAACAGCAGGATGGGAATTTAAACAACACCATGTGGACTTGCTGAAAAGTGGGAAAAGTGTTTGTATCGGTATATGAGGCTGGAGGTTTAGGACATGCTTCAGTTAGTAGCACACCACATTAACAGACTGAACTTCTCGCAACACCAACCGTAAAATAAGTCAACCGCTACCATGAAAAACGCCACCCTGAAGCTCACACACTATCTACAAATGTCAAAATATGTTATCTTCTTTTAAACGAATGAAAATGATGCAAAACGGTAGTACACCTGTATCATTACTTTTATATTTCCTTACACAAACATGAAGAAGGATTCAAATTTTATTTTGACTTTGAAAACTCTTTTTAGCAAATGTAAGCTACAGAATGCTCATTTATGCTCCTGGATCTAAAACATTTCAGTTTGTTTTTAAAAAAAAAAATTTAAGTAGTAGAAGTGTATTGGTCACCTTTGCGAGAGCGATGAAGGAGAGCACAGCCACCGCAGTAAACATGATGGTGGGAATCAGCATGACAATAGCTGAGCCAACGTTGGTGCTGAAGAAGGTGATCGTAGCCAACCAGCCACTTCAGGGAAGAACAAAAGAGTCAGAATCATCAACTCACTTATGACAGTGCACATTTATCCAATGCATTAGTTCTACATTTGCAACAGATTTTTCTAGACACTTGGGATGTTGGAAACAAGCTGTAAACACTCCAGTGACATCATCAAACTTTGTTAGCAAACAGATGCTTGTTTACACATCCAGAAGAAACAGAGCATTATTAGCATCAATTTGGAATCATGTTAGTGTCCACCTGATGAATTTAAGTCTAATATTCACTCTCATTTTATGTCTGTATATTAATGTACACTTCAGATACTAGTTGCTGGATGTGACTGCTGTTTGGTACTGGGCAGACAGTGTCCCACGGTTTTTAGGGCTTTTCTAGTGAGTGAAGTGTGTCACCTATTTGCACATCTGAAAGCTCTTACCATACTCCCCAACCTGGAATTCCGACAGTCTGGATAATACTTATCACCACCTGGGCCATGAAGACGAAGAAGAAAGCCATAAAGTTGAAAGAGCTGTCGGACCTGCACAGAGACCACAATCAACTTCAGAAATGACTTGATTCCACAGAACCGTAGAAACAAAAGTTTAGAGTGGACCCAGCTTACTTGAAGGCCTTGTAGATTGGCCTGAACCAACACACGTAGGAGCAGGGGGTGAAGAGGATGAGCCACAGGATGGCCATGCCAAAGTTGGTCGCTCCGCCGCCTCCACACATCCATGCCAGACAGCCAATCAGATTAACAGCCAGTGTGGCGCTATTCACTGTCAACATCGCAAAGAAGGAGCAAGGATGACCAAACCATGAAAGACTGGAGAAAAAA